TGTTCTTTTGTCCCCCTAACGCTTAGGCATGTCCTGCTGTGTTCCAAGCTCTGTGCTAAACATTCAAGATCTAACAGTGAAATGATTGAAAGATTTTTCTCTCAAAAAAGCTACAGTCTAGTGAAGGAGTAAGACAAGTGAAAAGGCTATTAAATCAGGAAGGGTACCAGGTACAGGAAGGGCAGACAGTGCTGAGTGCCGTTGGCTGTGTGAGGAGCAATAACCCGAATTTAGAGGTCAGAGGGAGGGTGGGAAATGGATGGTAAAGCCAAGAACCTGATGAAGAAGAACTGGCCAAGTCGAAGTGACCGGAGGAAGGAGAGATTGCTGAGAGCCGAGAGAAAATGTGGAACTCCTCCTTGAGGAACTCAACTGGGGAAGGCTGCTAGAGTGCTGGGGGCAGTTGGGGTGGGGGTGGGGGAGTAAACGATGAAGCTAGATTATGTAGGACATCCTGAGTCTTAGGGAGGAGTTTGAAAAATAACCCATTGAAGGATTCTATGCATGTTACAACCAAATTCATTTTTTTTAAAAAGATTTTATTTATTTGACAGACAGAGATCACAAGTAGGCAGAGAAGCAGGCAGAGAGAGAGGAGGAAGCAGGCTCCCTGCTGAGCAGAGAGCCTGATGTGGGGCTCGATCCCAGGACCCTGGGATCACGACCCAAGCCGAAGGCAGAGGCTTTAACCCAGTGAGTCACCCAGGTGCCCCCCAAATTCATTTTTACAAGCTCATTGACTACAGGATGCAAAATGAATTAGAGGGAAGAATAAGTCTAAAATGAGAGGAACCTGTTGAGAAGGCCGTATGCTAATTCCAGATGACAGTGGCCTGGAGCACATTAGTGACCCCTGGAATAGAAGAAAATGGAGGAATTTTTGAGTTTGAAGAAGGTAGAATGTGTGGCGTTGGTGTTACAACCTAGTGAACTGGTAAAGTCAGAGTCTTGATAAAGGAGTTTGAAGGCAAAGAGATGCCATTATCATGGTAAATTTTATTATTACTACCCAGGAAGATTGCCATTTCATGATTTCCTGTCTTTTCCTTTTAAAATAGTCAAGAGCCAACAGTTGAAGCTCTGAGAATTAGTTCATTTCCTCCCCCATTCTTCAATCCCATAAAATCGTGTCTTGGGCCCCAGATTCATTTTGCTCCTTTCCACCCTGACTCTCTTCTGCTCACTCACTGCTGAAGGCCTGAACCAGGCTCCACTGCCAGAGCATTTTGCTCTCAACCAACTGGAAAGGTAGGATATAACCTCGTAGAGTAATCCTCCACTTCGGAGCACCTAGGAATGCCTTCTCAGACAGTACCCTTCCTCCTCCTTGTTTGCATTTTAATAGAAGAATGGTACAGGAGGCCTAATGACCTTAAAAATAAATCTCTACTGATAAAATTCCTCTCACCCATTCAGACAGATGGAAAATATTATGAGGAAAACATGAAAGTATTTCTGCTGCCCTTTGGACCGCATTATTCTTTGATCGTCCCACCTGGGTAGTCAGAATAGGCTTGCAGAGAAACCAAAGAATTGTGGACATACCCTAGGTTCCCAGAAATCTTTGCTAAATCACAAGGTAGTAAGCCCCACCTCTGTCGAGGCCACTTGAGTTGCCTAGAACGCCATTTTGAAATCACTAGCAACACACAATGGCCATGCATTTAAGGTAGAAAGTGGAGAGCTCTCAGAATAACAGATTGCCCTGCTCTGAAATGCAGTCGACACAGCAGCCACTTTTTAATTCATCATGGTCTTGTAGCAAGATTATTGATTATAAAGTCTTGAAATGAATAGCCAGAGACGGAGAAAGCGTTAGAATTGGTATTTCTTTAATGATTTAGGGATTATTGGCCATTCATTTTCAACTATTTGTAATTGAAGTCTTGAAATAATGGAATTTATCAGAGGAATGCCTCATTCACCCTTGGATAATTTGAACATACTGAAATGGCACATGTGGACTCATAAATCGTGTGTGTGCACAAAGGGGTAATGTATCACTCCACCCCTCATTCACTCAGGGCTGGGGGAGGAAAGGCATGGAAGGATGACTTATAGCTTACGAGACAGGATCCCATAACTTCATGTCTTGTGTCTCCAAGAGGATTTTTTTTAATGTAACCTTTACATTATTTATACTTGCTGGTCATTCATGATAAAAGACACTTTTATCATGAGGTTTTATCATTTTTTTTTATTATTTAATTATCAAAACTCTCACAAATGTTTTTGACAAAGTCACTTTTTGGCAAACGGATCATTGCCCCGGGCTTAGAGCAATGGGCCTTGTTGTCTACACAACTGTGCTGAATTAGGCATATTATTTCTAATATGAGCCAGAAATGATAAACATATTAAAATCAAATTAAATTATTTCTTTGTGGAGTCGTTTTAGGTTTAAAGTGAAGAGAGTGTAACTTTTTTTTTTTATTAAAGCTATAACAAGAAATTCAGTTACTATTTTTAACCACTGCGGAGGGCAGACGTGTTATAGAGACAAGCATTTGCTTTAAAGCATCAGTTCTCCAGAACTAACTCCTTTGCTATTACAGTTATTTTCTTATTCCAAGTCTTTTGTATGCTGATTGAAATCTTAGTCTATGGGGATTGGTGAGCCTGGAAATCTAGAATTTCCTGTTTTAAGGAATGTTTACAAAATATCATACAAGCTATATGGATATCAGTTAAATACTCATATTATTTCTCATCTGTGGTTTGCATTTGGGGTTTATTTCATGTGATCAACGTATCTTGGAAGTTTCCTTAGGAATGCAGATTCTCAGGTTCTGCCCCCCACAACCTACCCTGTCACCACCCCCCAACTATAGATGAGAAACTACATTTTTTATAAGATCCCTAAGTGATAAGTACATACACTAAAGTGTGAGAAGCCCTACTCTGCATGGTTGTTGGATGGGACATGACATTTTGAAGGAGACCTGAATCATTAATGAATCTGAGGAGGTTACTTAAGAGGCGAAATAACAATAGTTGACTTTTGAGCACTTAATGGTTCTAGGCATCATAGTAACCATGGGTTTTACATGCATTATCTCATGTGGGCAAAAGGGAAGAGAAGACTTTTTCTGAGGATGGAGAAGTGATTTAGTAAATGCAGATATTCGGGAATGTTCTAGATAGTTATTATAGCCCAGAGAAAAGAGCTAAATCTAGAGGGGAAGTACTCAGGATCAGAACAGGTGTAGCTAGCCTACGTGCAGAGTGTAGACTGGAGCAGAGATGATGGAGACAGGAATGTTTTCTGACTGACCAAAAAAAGAAAGAAAGAAAATGTTACAGTAATGAATTCAGCCAACCAGGGAAAGCTATTTGGAAGTGACAAAGTGACATAGCCAATATTGTGGAAACACATAATGATTTTCACTCATCTCACTTTAGAACAAGGTTAAAAACTATGTTGCGTATTTACTTTCTATGTAAATATACATATAAACAATATAACCATATATTACTCTATATGGATTCAAGTCTTTACAAGGGATAATTCTTAAAACCTTAATATTGGCATAGAAGTGTATTACTTTCAGTGTATAATCATGAGTATTGATTTTTTTTTTCTTTAAGAAACAGGCTTAAGATTAACAGGTAGGAAATATAAATGGAGGAGAATATATTTAGGGATGAGAGAAATTAGTTTTTAATCTTGATTCTGACCCAATACTTACCAAAATAACTGATAAGCCAAATTATAATCAACTAGTCAGTTAACAAGACTGATGTTACTGGTATGTTTCATAGAATTGTTTTAATGGCATGCAAAACTTAGTCTTGAGTGAAGGGACTTCTGAAATTTGGGAGAGTTGATAATGCTTCTATTTGCTTTAGTTTCTTAGAGACTCAGATCATTCTTATTCTACTATGAACAATTTCTATAATTATGTGAGACAATAAACAATTAATGTCATTAGAAGCCACTGCTATAATTCCATTTTTCTAGAAGTAAATATAAAATGGCAAGTTACCTGAGTACTGATATTACTGATAACTATTTGTATTAGTTATCTGTTGCCACGTGACAAATTATCCAATAATTTAGCAGCTTAAAGGAACAAATGTTTATTATCCCACAGTGGGTCAGGAATCCAGCTAGGTGCCTGTGGCTCAAGGATTTTCATGAGGTTGCCATCAAAATGTTGGCTGGGGCTGTTATTTTATCTAAAGGCTCTACCTATTATCACCTATAATTTATAAGGTTATTATTGGCTAGCTTCAGTTCCTTATCACATGGGAAGCAGTTAGCTTCCCATGGAGCAAGGAATCCAAAGGAGCTCAAGAGAGAGAAAACCATACTCAAGATGGAAACCATAAGTCCTTTTTATAGCCTAATCTTGGAAGTGACATTCCATTACTTCTGCTCTATTCTATCCATTAAAATCTAGCCAGTAAGCCCAGCCCATACCCAAGGAAGAGGATTGTGAATACCAGGAGGTGGTGATCACCGCAGGCTGACCACAATTATTGTGTTGTTGTTGTTGTTATTGTGGTTACACAGACTCCATGCTTGGTGTAGAACCCAATGTGGGGCTCTAACTCACAACTCTGAGGTCAAGACCTGAGCTGAGATCAAGAGTTGGATGTTTAACAGACTGAGCCATTCAGGCACCCCACAACTGGGGGAAGGGTGATTGTGTCTTTCCTCCATATTTTCTGATATATAAGTAAAAAATGTTACAGGCGATAAAATTAAAGAGAAAATATTCTTTTATGAGACATGTTGATGAGTAAAGTCACTCTTCTTTTGAGATTTCTTAGTAAGACTTGAATCGACTGAAGACAGGATTTATTAATGGAACTTCCTGGCCACATAGTAGATCATGTCATGAATCCAAGTCTGAGATCATTAACCTAACAGGGTTTTGTAGAGCTTTCAAATTTTTGCACTGAAAAATTGAAATAGCAAAACCCCCTGGCAGTGATAGGAACCCATCAATCTTTCTCATTCCCTAACAGTCTCCTTCTTGCTCTGTTCTCAACAGTATGCTTGAAAGTTCAAACCGGCTTGATGAAGAGCACAGGCTGATCGCCAGGTACGCAGCAAGACTGGCGGCAGAGTCCACTTCCTCGGTAAGTAGTCTGAGTGAGAGTGAGAGGCTGTCATTCATGTTCACTGTTATCCTAATGGTCGGGGCTACCACAGCAGGACTGAGGAGGTGTTACTGGATGGCCTGAGGACCTACACATGAGTCTTCCACAGCTTCCCTTTGTCCCTCTCCAGCTGTGGTTCTGGTACAGCAGAAATCGTAGCTTCCAATATGAGGTTACAACACCGTATTTCTGCACCAGCCCACCCCCTGATTTCTCTGGATCATTCCTGATCAGTTAATAGAAAGAGCAAAGCAATGACTCCAATTCACAACTGCCCCAGAGGAGTTTCTACTTTTATCAATATGTAACAGATAAAAGAAACAAAAAATTACATAATGAAATCAGAGGGAAAACCTGGATCACAGGTCAAAGATGCCACATGCCAGACTTAGCTACCCATGAAGACATTTAGGACCTCAAATGTCTTCATTAGCAACATAGATCATTTCTTTGTTTTAAAAGAAATGCTAATTAAAAAATCATAGAAAAGCTTTATAAAAGCTAGACATTTTACCAAGCTTAACCTTTCTTACAGTCGTGTATTTGGACATTAAAAAGCAGGCTGAGGTTTTCCTTGTCTTTGCAGGCTTAGTCAGTGCCAATTTTAAAATCTTGGCATTTTGTGGTGGAAAGATGAATTGTGATCTTTTTAATTTGTTTAAAATCCAATTGAGGAATTACTACTGTAGAGTAAGGAAAGCAAGGGGCAGGGAAATACATATAATCTGCCCCTGTTTTTATAAAACAATGACAAATTAAACCTTCATTAAATCCACACTCAAATATATACATATATTTAAATACAGTATGTAATTACATGTATATACATATATAAACATACATACATATGTAAAAGTTGACTCTTATTTGGAAATCTGAAAGTCAGACCATCCTTGTAAAAAATCCTCTTATAATTGTAAGAAATGTTCATATTGTGTAAAAGAACTCATTTAATAAAATAGTAATTTGATTTTACAACTAAAAGTACACATATATACATATGTATATACTATATAATCATATACCATACTTCTATGTATATCTGTATTTAGTCAGAAGTTAATTTGTATATATATCTCTATATATAATTTGTTAAGATTAATTTGTGTGTATGTGCATGGATACATATGTGTATATATATATGGAAAAACCAATGTCTGTGTATATGCCAATTGTTAAAGTCGGCTGCATGACCAAGAACGATGGAATGGCATGAATGTGGGGGAAGGGTGTAATGTATGAATAATACTTAATAATACTTAATAATACTTAATACATAAATATGAATAAAGAAATGCTAAAAGTGTGTTCACCAAAAGAAGAAGAAAAGAAAGTCCTAGTAACTAGGACTTTAAAACTATGAAATTTTTAATTGTCCATTACAGTGAGTGAACAGTAATTCTAGAGAAGTGTCTCAATAGGGAAGTATTTTTTACACCCACCCATATTGAGAGAACCGTCACAATAGCGACAGGACGGCAAGAGTGAAATAGATCCCAAAGACTTCAAGTCAGAAAGCTATAAAACAGGGGCGCCCGGGTGGCTCAGTCGGTTGGGCATCAGACTCTTGATTTGGGCTCCGGTCATGATCTCAGGGTCCTGAGACTGACCCCTGCAACAGGCTCCATGCTCAGCAGGGAATCTGCTTGAAGATTCTCTCTCTCCCTCTCCCTCTGCCCCGCCCTGTATTCTCTCTCTCTCTCTCTCTCTCTCTCTCTCTCAAATACATAAATAAATCTTTAAGAAGTAAGGGGCACTTGGGTGGCTCAGTTGGTTAAGCATCTGACTCTTGATTTCAGCTCAGGTCCTGATCTCAGGGTCATGAGATCGAGCCCTGCATCAGGCTCTGTGTTCTGTGCTCAGCACAGAGTCACCTGGAGATTCTCTCTCTCCTTTTCCCTCTGCTCCTCCCCACCCCTCTCTCTCTCACTCTCTCACAAATAACAAGTAAAACTCCTTTAAAAAAAAAAAAGTAAAAGTAAAAAAATAATTTAAAAGAAAAAAGCTACAAAACTGTTTTTTCTGTGTTCTGTGTATTTGCCGTCCAAAGAATGCTGTTCTGCTTTTCATTGCAGAGGTGTCCTCCAGGTCCATAGAGAAGCTGGTCCTTTAGGAGATCAATGGCAACTTCATGTATTTGCTTTTCTTGTTTTGATAGAGATAGTTTTTTTCTCTCCTGTCTGCCTACCTCATGATCTCTGTCTCCTCGAGCACACGCCGCTTCCTTTCCCAACGTTAAATAGTTCACCACGTGTTTTACAGCAGCCGGCCCAACAGCGGGGTGCTCCCGACATCTCCTTCACCATTGATGCAAACAAGCAGCAGAGGCAGCTGATCGCAGAGCTAGAAAACAAGAACAGGTAAGGCTGCTTAGACACGCTGGCTTTTTGGATCAAAGTGTGTGCTCATGGCAAGCTTGTAGTTGGGACACCTGGGTGGCTCAGTCCGTTAAGCATCTGCCTTTGGCTCAGGTTGGGATCCCAGGGTCCTGGGATCAAGTTCCTCATCAGGGAGCCTGCCTCTCTCTCTCCCGCTCCCCCTGCTTCTGCTCTCTCTGTCCAAGAAATAAATAAAATCTTTTTTTAAAAGGTTCTATGGACAAACATGTAAAGGAAGTTACAAACCTGGTTGGCACATTTCTATGTTCTTAGAAGGAAAGAAAGACTAAACTGAAAACTGCCAAGCCCACAAATATCTTACCTTGGTTGCAGTGTTCACCTGCTCTCCCACCTCTCCAAGGCACTTTCTTTTCCCTTTCAATCCTCTGCTTCCACTCAGCATGAGGAGAAATCAGGACTTCCTTGAAGGAGATACCCCAGGCAGGAATACCTGCCTCCATGTGGAATTCCAGAATCAGCAAGAAACACAATGAATGTCCTAATGGCCCCAGCTGTTGCGGGTTACCACTGTTACTGCTTGTTTCCAGGATGTTTCTGGATACTGTACGCTCTGAATGCATGTTGTAGGACCAGAGAGAGAATAAAGAAGGGGACGTGAGAACAGAAGGCAGAAAGAGCAGTGCGTCCTGTCCCTTAGTGCTTTCATGACCCATAGAGTTCCCCGCCCCATGTCTGAAGAGCAGCTAGTCCATCCTGAACACATTTCACTAAACCAGCAGCCTCATGCCCTCCAAAGAACCCAGAACCATGTCCCAGAAACTTCTCTAGGCTCCACTCCTGCACTATGGGAATTCACCCCGGGGATCTCGTGGTCTCCAAGGTGACAACCCACTAATCAGATCTCTGAGCTTCAGGGGAGGGTAGAGTTCCTCACTTCACTGGATGACGACCCTGGTGGACATTTCAGCAATGACCTTAGAAGATAATGCTTCCTCCTAGCACGTCTGGAGGAGCCAGCTGGGTTCGGTATTAGGAGTGGCAGGACTCTTCCTATTATATTGCGTAAGTCACAGCCTGCATAGGTCAGACCGGGCAGATCAAGTACCAAAGACAGAGGAAGTCAGATATATACAAGCTTTGGAACCAAGCAGCTTGAGTTCACTTCACCTCTCCCACCCATTTTTTATTGAACGTGGATGAGTCAATCAACTGGCCTGTGCTTTGATTTCCTTATTCATGAAACAGATAATAGCAGTACCCACATATAAAATAATTTGAGGATTAAATAAAATAAGATGAAAGACGAGAGCATCGTTCTTGGGTAGAAACTAAGTACTAATGCTCTTACATATCTTACCATAATTTTCCTTATTAGAGCAGCTTCTCTCTCTCTCTTCCTTCAGCTAAATACTGAGTCATGTTTCTGTCCTTGGAACCACCAAGGAGAACTAGTGAGAGTCACAGAATATCGGGATGTTAGCCCTGGAGGAGATCCTTAAAATCCCAGCTTACTGATTTTCAGGCTGAGCTCTGTAGGACCCAGGGGCTCTGTCGAGGTGCCTGAAGAGGGGGAGGGAAGGGCTTGCAACTCAGGGCCCGCCCTCTCTTTCACCAGACCAGCTCCCTTTTAACCATTTGACGTTTTGAATTTCCATAAAAATTTTCTCTTAAAGAAAGGTTTCCACCATGGCACACCAAGGAGGACAGAAGAAGATGAGAAACAACTGAATTTTAGTTCAGTCTTCTCACTGTACCCACAAGAGGTGTAGTGACTGCTAATTAGCTTCTTAATTCTGGTGTGTTTATGAAGCAGGCCGTTGTAAATCAGCCTTTCAGATGGAAAGCCATCGGCCTTGCTCACCAAGTTCACCTTTCATTCCTTGGTGCTGTCTCTTATGCATTTTGCTGGATGGGAGACTGACCCCTCCCCCAAGAATAAGTGACTTGTAACCTAGCGTAATGGCTTCTAACTCACTTAGGGATAATTTGCCTTGCATAGGTCACCCACCCTTTATGGCCAGCCTAATGTTCACCTCCGTGCAGGGCAGCCTGGGCTCCAACATCAATAATAGACAGACATATCCCACCCTGGATAGAGGTCACGCCAATAGCACTCTTATGTCACACACTCAATTACAGCGAATCCTTTTAAAAGCCCTTCCCTTCAAGGGCTACCCTCACTGAGATCCATTTTGAAGGCTGGAAATGTTAAGAAAAAGAAAAAGAATTTTGCCTAACTGGGGGCTTCTCAGATAAATCCAATGAGAGGACTCTCATTCTTGGTGAAAGAATGGGGTTATTTAGTTTTGTGAAATGAACACCATTTATCCTTATTTTCCCTCCAAGCACCTCTTACTTGGTAGCTGCAAGTACTTTGTGGTGTCAGACCGTGATCATCAATAATCGGAAGATACACTTTTTGCTCCGAAGCAGTGCACTTTTCAAAGCTGAACACATTACCACGGCATTACATTACTTAATGGAGAGATTATTAGGTCCCGGCGAGAACACTCAGCTTCAAGGCTCCAGCAACATGTGCAGAGTCTGAACGTGCGGGAGCTGAGCTCAGCCCACCCTTCCCCATCAGTGCCCACCTCGCCCTAGCCGACAGCTCGGAAACACCAGTGGTCACAGAGGCTTGCTTCTGCTCCGAAACGCGGGGTGACCCCACCGCAGTGTTAGTATCCTGGATATCCTGGAAGTTGACTGACCCTAGTTTCTTACCTTCTTCCTCTCTCCCAAGAGAAATCTTACAGGAGATCCAGAGGCTGCGGCTAGAGCACGAACAAGCTTCTCAGCCCACTCCAGAGAAGGCCCAGCAAAACCCCACTCTGCTGGCAGAACTCCGGCTCCTCAGGTAAGAGAGGGAGCCCGAGGCCTCTGGGGAAATGCAAGTGACTGGATCTTCAAAAATTCCAACAGCGTCTAACCAGAGAACGGTCCTTAGCCACCACAGCTGCTGACATAACGTGCTTTTTCTCTTTTAATAGCATGTCCCTAATTGCGGGCATTTGGGGGGTTTCAAGGAGATGCTGTTCATATTCTTTCCTTGGACACAGAGAAGGGGAAACAGCACTCTTAAGAAACAAAATCTCTCCATGGAAAACAGGTGAACTCAACTCTTCGTTGTTATTCGCACTGTCAACAACAGTGTTATGACACAAGTGATCAATAAAACAAACACATAAACAGCTAAATAAACATCACAGGCTTTTGCACTTAAAAATTCACCTATAACCCATAAAAAGGAGGCAGATTTTCTCTGAATCTTGGTCTGTAATAGCTTTACATGCTTAAAAAACAGACTTCATAGCTTCTTGCTCTGCAAATGACTTAAACCACCTGCTGTTATCTAGTCTGGCACCAGAAAACACGAGACTGAAAGGACGCTAGAAGGTCATCTGGTTCTGCCCCTGAATTTCAGTGCATTTCTCGGAGTCAGAAAAGTGCAGAGTAGCCAAGGACCGCAGCGCCTCCCCCTGCGCATGTGCGAAAGGATGGGTGCTGAGGGCTTCCGGTCAGGCTGGCTTAGGGCCATGCCTTGACTATGGCACGGGCTCAAACCTATCTGTGCAGCGAACAACACAAGGATAAATTCAAAGCCATTGCCTCGTAGAAATGTCATATTCCACGAGGCACTTTTAGTTAGCAAGTATGACATTCTTCCATCTTCCAGTTTGGGAGCAGGGTACATTCCGGGTATATGGAACTCTGAGGCATGCTCTTGATAGGAAGTAAAGATGCCTCTTAGAATCCCTTGTCAGAATCAGGCTGCCGTTTACTTCTTCCATACAACTACATTAAGCAGGTTCTGTATGGCTACATGTGGGTTTTACCATAGATGTTTCTAGGGGTTCCGTCCCAGCCCTGCTCTTCAGACATGTTAACGTCCGGGCTCTGCAGGCTGCAGGCCCTGCCTGCTCTCAGCGACACTCCATGCTCGCTCTCCCCAGGCCGGTGCACCTGGCTAGATGGCAGGTCCCCCCAAGGTGTGAGTCATAGAAAGGAGATCTATGGAAGCTGCCAGCTGTGGGAGCTGCTTGATGTGAAGAGATCATGTCATACTTCCAATAACAAAATAATTTAATGTAAGAATCAGAAAATCTTCCTTTCCAGATGACAGAATCTCTGGTCCCACCTTCAGGGTGATGTATTAGAAATCCTTGCACATCCCGCTACATCATCTCCCAGAAGGGATGAACAATGAAAGAAGGAAAAAGTGATAGTTCATATCATCATCCTCAAAGGCATATAAAAGTAAATGCTGCTCAAAAGAGTCTTTGCCTAATAGGATTATGTAGGCCCTCCGGGCTCACGAGTTGCAAGTCTAATGTACACAGAAATGTAACTGAATAAACCACCTTAGAAATAGAGTAATCATTCATCTACACGTCAAGTTACCTTGTCTCTGCCTGAAATGTTCTTTATGCCTCTTCTGTTGGTTGTCCCATTCTCTGATGGAGGCATGGATGACTAGGAATTTTTCATAAATGTTTTCATCAGACCCTTCCTTAGCATTTGCCTTCAAAAGTCTTTGGTTCCATTTGGATGATGCATTCTGGGAAGGCATCTAGATGTGCCTGGGTTACTGATGATAGTTTTCCAAATGATATTTCTTCCCTCCTCGACGTTGCTCTCTTGGAATGCACTGATAATTCCAGACACCCTCCTGGCCCTGCCTTGTGGGCACTCCCTACATCTGAGCCCAAACCTTTGCCAAGGAGTCTGGCTCTGTGAGAAACTTCAGTATTTGGGGGTGTTCGCTGTCAGCGGGTGGCCCATACCTGTGGCCACAGGCCTAAGGCCTGAGACAACTAAATCCCAACGGATTTGATTGCCTGTCATTCTACACTTTTCTTCTACTTGGATATTTCTCTAGATACTTCTAAACCACTTATTCCATGCTAAGCACTTGCACAATTTGGGGATTTCACAGATACCCTGACATCCCTCTCTTAAAGGGCTCCTTTGAGTATTCTTTTATTCTTTAGACATTTCAAACTCTAAAACAATGTCCTCTTGCCCAGTTACATTGGCCTTAGTTCACCCAGAGGGGTGGCCATATGAAGCCACCATGGGAGCTCTTTGATAGAGATCTCCTTTGTCCCTTGCAGTTTGCCTGGGTCTCTTATTGAGAAACCAAAGGAGAAATTTATTTCAGCTGGGAAACAGGTGAGGCGACAAAGGAGCAGAGCTCTGCTTTTCATGAACACATAGTTTATCTTTATCTTAAGAGCCTTATGACCTTTCTAAATAATCACATTTCCATTTTCACATTAGCCACACAAAAGCTGAGAGCCAGGTTTGCAATCCAGATCTGGTAACCAAGTGGGATTAAATGATGGGCATTTCTGTGGGCTAATCTGACACTTCCTATGCACTAAGCTCTATAAATAGTATCCCAGGTAATTGCTATAACAAAGCCAGGAGATGGACACTATTATTATACTCTTTTTATAGATACGGAAACTGAAGATTCACAGAAGCCAAATAATTTGCCCAAGATCCCACACAGTGAGCAGCACATGTGGATTCCGTCTCCTTTTCTTGGGTCTTAATTATCTCCTGCTGGGCTGTTAGCACTCAGTTGATTGCTGGCCTCTGGTCCATCCACACTGTTGTCAGATTTATCGTTCCTCATTTTATTATTCATTTAGTTCATTCAGCAAATATTTCCAAAATGCAGTATGCCCAGTGTCTTGAAAAAGATACTGTCCTGGTCTCACAGAATGCGTGGTCTGGTAGGAGAATGACAGAAATCAAATAACTGCACAAGTAAGAAGATAATTATAAACTGAGATAAGTGCTACAAGGAATCTTGTTTTTAAACAGAGACACAATGATCAAACCTGCCCTTCACTTCGATCAGAAAAGTCTACCATGAAGCAGGATTGTTTCAGTCGAAGTATGAAAGATGGATACATAGGGAATGGGGATTAGGAGTGGCAGAGGGGATGGAACAGCTGAGGAAGGGTCCCCTGGAAGAGAGAAACCAGATGTACCATGTCCAAATGGCAGGAGCGCATCTGGCACTTTTTTAGGAACTGAAAGATCAATAGGCCTAGAATGCAGTGAAGGAGGGGCTGTATGGTAGGAGATGGAGCTGACGATGTAGGTAGGGGTAGACGGTGATGCTGTGTGGCCTCACAGACCATCTTGAGGATATTGCTGTTAATCCTACAGCGGGAGCCCCTGAAGGTGGTAGTTACATATTGAGCCAATACAGTGAGTTAGACTCACATGAATTAGAGATCTTACTCCAGTATTGAGTTTTACTAATAACTTCAAGAATACAGACAATCAAGAGGCACAAATGAAGCAGAGAAAGGTCTGGAACATTCCGTATGGTCCCTGAGGACTTTCCCTTCTACAGTGGGGTAGAGTTTTTGAGGGAAATTTTGTAAGTTTATCTAGCAAGCCTTCCTTAAATTTCCTCCACCATTTGGAACTGGGATCTTCTTTGGTATCACCATATATAGCAATTTCTTCATATTTTTATTGTATGCTCGCCATCATCATTTTGAACTTATATATTTCTCCTCCTCTTTCACCCAAGGGTAAAAACCATAGCCTACTCATTATTTTATTTACTGTATCTTAAAACAAAAGTGCTGAATGGATGTCTGTGGGATGAATGGATAAGAACTGTGTTTGCAAAGACAATACCATCTTGTAGGATGAAGAAAACATTTATTACAACTGTGAAGCAACTAACTTCACACTACAAATCTCAAAGTGGAAAAAAGTATAATTTCTGTATCTTTACCTTGCCAAAAAAATAAGCATTTTATTTTATACCCCCCAAATTACATTATTTTCAATGTATATAAGATTATTCTTAAAGAAAACTTGCTAATATAAGGTGACTTTTTTTGTTCTATTAATTAAAGAGGAAAGTGTAATCTCTGCTGCAAGTCTGTGGTTTCCAGAGTTGAATTTAATAGACCAGTTTAAGTTTTTCATTATTTTTGGGAAACAACATAAAGTTAAGTTCTTTTTGTTTTACCACAAAGTGATATATCTTTAAAACTCTTTTGTCTCTTCTCACAGCCATTTCATGAATGACAGTATATTTTTTAACTTTTTACTCTGAAACCATGTTAAACCTAGGAAAGAGTTGTCAGAATATCACAATTAATGTCCTTCTGTACTTCACCTAGAGATTGCAAACATTTTACCACATCCTTCTCTATCTTCCTTTATATGTGAATATATAACAATTGCATACACATTTTTGATGAGTCATTTGAGAGTAAGTTGCAGACATCATAACCCTTTACCCCTAAGTACTCCTGTGTATGTTTCCTAGGTAAAAAGATGTTCTCTTATATAACCATGGCACCATCATCATATTCAGGCAAGTTAATATTGATGTTTATTATCTAATAGACAATCTATATTAAAATTTTGCCTGTTATCCCAACATTGTCCTAAGAGAAAGTAGGGTTGTTGTTTTTTCTTTTTTTTTAAGATTTTATTTCTTTATTTGAGAAAGAGACAGCATGAGCAGGAGGGGCGGGAGGGGAGGGAGAGAGAGCCTCTCAGGCAGACTCCATGCTGAGTGCAGAACCCAATGCAGGGCTCCATCCCAGGATGGAGGACCCCAAGATCATGACCTGAGCTGAAACCAAGAGTCAAACCCTTAACCAACTGTGCCACCCAGATGCCCCAAGAGAAAGTAGATTTTAACACACATGCAAAATTAGAAATAATCTGGCAGAATCTCAGAATAAAAGGCATTCCTTTAGAGATGTAATACATTAAGCTCTGTGCAAATAAAATTACTACTTAGTCCTTGTTTTCTTGTTCCTACTTGAAACCATAGAAGCTACACTACAAATGTGTTAATCAGACCCACATTTGGTAGCCACTTATAGAGAAGATTAAATAAATACTTATAGAGAAGATTAAATAAAGACATTATTAAGTGATTTTTTAAAAATTGAATTTAATCAAATGCATGAAAAAGTAAATGTCAGGGGCACCTGGGTGGCTCAGTCGGTTAAGTGGCTGCCTTCCACTCAGGTCATGATCTCAGGGTCCTAGGATCAAGCCCTGCCTCAGGCTCTCTGCTCAGCGGGGAGTCTGCTTCTCCCACTCCCTCTGGGCTCTCTTGCTCTCTCTCAAATACATAAATAAATAAGATCTTTTAAAAAAGAAAGAGTGGATGTCATGTTTTGAAAGATTACTACTATGAGAAAAAATTACAAACAAGTTTTTTTATTGCTGATTAATTCTAAATTAATACCAGTTAACTTTCTCTTATAGTTTTTAGATGCCTTTTCTTAGTATTTCTTAACTACAATATTGGAGTTTTACTGCAACCCTCTTCACAAAGTGCTCCTATGACCAAAAATCCAAAAATTACAGAGCAATATCTACAAGAGAACTGGAAATACATCAGAAACATTCTCTATCCTTCTACCAAGCCCTAACATGGGTATATTTGGAACACGAAGTGCAGACAAGGTCAAAGATAAAACAGCCAGTGGATTTGTCATTGAAGAATATTTTTGAATGGATCAAGGCTTTTAAAATTAGAATGTTGTAGCCCTGGAAGACAAAGACTAGTATAAAATGCCATTAAAGTCTATAAAATCATGATGTTCCTTGTCCTTTGGGATTCAGAAAAGAGACAGTTGTGAAGATAATCAAAGGAAGGAATGCTCTGAGAAAAAGCCTTAAGTGGCAATAAAAGCCAAAAATACAAATATATTCAAAAAGAGTTGAGACATGTTTACAAATTTTAAATTCATAAGTCATTAGAGAAAGTCTGTATCAAAACAAATTAGAAATGTTTCATTAATATCCATAACCTGTCCTCCCACAAAATGCCTTTTCAATTGGATGAGTCATTGACCTATGTCAGCGTGACATTTTTATATTGTCAGGTTTATATTGTCATTTCAGAGTCTCTGCTCGAGCTCCACTAAATATTGTGCTTCTTCTCATTGAGACTGGACATATCCATTCATACATTAACCCATGGTTAAAGCATCCACGCATTTTTAAAATATAAGTTCCAACATCTCAAACCCAGACAGAAACCTTTGGGGCAAGGGGAAAAAACCGGGTGCATAATTCACTAATGATCATGAAATAATAGATTTGAAATTGACTTGAAAAGCATACACAGACATCAGAAACGTAAACCATTAATATTCTTCCCCATACTGTTTCATTTCTTTTCTCTCTTTCAAAGGTATTTTTGGTACTCTCAGTGTCAATATAAATGATAGAGTAGAGATTGTCCTTTGTGGTTTCCATTCTTGCTGACAGCTTAATAGAAGTTCTGCAAAACAAACAAAATTAAACAAACATGAACCTTATAGGTTATTTGCAGTTAGAACAATTGTGTAGGAACTCCTTTATTCTGACTTTGCTTTATATAAAGTCAAACCCAAAGCAGAAAACTTAAATTGACTACAAAAACTCTGTACTCTGGATATTTCACCTCTGAAAGACACAGCATTGTGTACGAAGAATGGAAGAAATGAAAAAATTAACTTTTAAAATCCAATTTCCAAATACTAAAGTATCGGTATTTCCTTTGAGATTTACAAAAGGGTCCCTGCATTTGGAGGATCTATGGGATTGACCCTTTTCAGTGACAGTTTGGTTTTTGTTTGTTGTCTCAGGGAAGGACAATGGCAGGGCACAGGGCCCAGAACATAGTAAGCATTCAGAAAAGATTTCATCAAATGGTTGATTTGCAATCAACCATATTGGGTGCAATATCAAATAGGATCCTAATTCTATTTTAGTATGACTTCTAACAAACAAATATACACCTCATGTTCATTTGACAACATTTTCCTGCTTGGAAACCATATCAGAGTTCCAGAGATGCCCTTTTCCTGGTGGTCCACTATTGCCACAAAACTAAGAAATGTGATCAGCTCAGTAGGTTGAATGCTGTTCTGATGACAACTGCTTCTTTCTTAGACAGCGCAAGGATGAGCTGGAACAGAGAATGTCTGCTCTCCAGGAGAGCCGGAGAGAGCTAATGGTCCAGTTAGAAGGTCTCATGAAGCTACTAAAGGTAAGAAGTTCAAATACTTCCTAGACCTCTGACTATGGCATTTCTGAAAATCTTTCATACATAATGTGCAATTATTTTTCCAATGACTATATGTGATTAACCCCAAAATATGGCTTCAGTCTCAGATATTAAGACCTTTTCTTAGATACATCAAATGATCGCAGTCAATGACAAGTCTCATTCTTATCCATTTCCTGGAACCAGACCACTGAGGACCTTCAAAGGACAACTTCTTGGCTTATTTCCAGTTCCTATGTCCTTAAAAATAATAAAGCTGGATTTATTTAGGAATATTTTATGTTTAATAGCTTCAATAATTCCGAATAAAGTGAACAGAATCCAATGTCTAACTCAGAAAATGAAGATACAGCCATGAAATTTTGGGGGTGACTATAGTTTTATTAAGACCATTAACTGTTAATTTTAGTGAAACATTTTACCTCATCTGTGTGGCTTTAGCAGCAAGTCACATAACTTCTGTGAGTCTCAAATGCAAACTATAAATAGGTATTTGCTCTCTGCGGGGAGGGGGTTTAATGAAATGACCTAGGGAGGTCCTCTGAAGAATACTATGATGTTGTTCTCCCCGGGAAGTAGCATTCTTCCTTTCATATCTCTATTCCCTTCTTCGGTATATATTAAATCACATTCCAAGTCACAGTGAGAGTAATCATGGCCCCTTGGCCACAGTCAGCTCAGTGGAGGAGTCAGAGCTATATGGTCAGCCTGCCTGATGTAGACACGCAGGAACCACTGTGGACTGGAAAGGGGACTTGCCAAAGACAGGAACTGAAACTTCTGATGGAGTGAGGAAGGCCAGATCCCTGGGGCAGCTCATCTGTGAGACAGACGTCCCTACTTTAGGTCCCTGGTTCTCTGGCATCCCTGACACACCAGAATTTATTGTTTCTCCCTTCCTCTTTTTCTTTCCTTTTCTTTTTTCTCTTTTCTTTCTCTCTTCCTTCTTCCTTTCTTTCTTTCTTTTATTTATTTGACAAATACTTGCTGAAACCTGTGTCCTGGCCAGGTATAAGTGTGACACTTCTTTCTTTTGTTTTCTCTGCTCTTTTTTTTTTTTTTTAATTTTTTAAAAAAGATTTTATTTATTTGACAGACAGAGATCACAAGTAGGCAGAGACAGGCGGGGTGGGTGGGGGAGGATGGGAAGCAGACTCCCCACCGAGCAGAGAGCCCAATGCGGGCCTCGATCCCAGGACCCTGAGATATGACCTGAGCCAAAGGCAGAGTCTTAACCCACTGAGCCACCCAGGCACCCCTTTTTAAATTTTTTTTTTTTAAATTCTTTAGTCAACTTTTCCTGCCATCAGTGTTGGGAATGCTTTATCGTCTCTAAACAAAATCTCCTTTTCAGTGTATTAGACCCATAACGCGTAGAACTCACTTTTTGTTGTACTGTACATATGAAGACAGGACTAGATAACTAATAACCTCTTACTGTTTCTGCCCTATTATCTCACTGGATCATCCAGAAAAGCTCTTTCTGCTTTCCTTTTCAAATATACCAAATGAAGAGGGTCGATCTCATCTTTCCCTTCACTGAATGACAGGAAACCTTGAAAATACCCCGCCACTTATTTTCCCATATTGATGGATATGAGTCCACTTACCGCCAGCCATCTTGGCATCCATCTAGCCCACCCGAGCACATTCTATCAGATCGGTATATACAAACACCAGGAGAGAGGGATAGACTGTGTTGAAAGATGTATGGACACAGGAAGGAAAGAGATGGTCTGTCTTAAATACCAAAAGAGATGTGGAACTAAAAGTCACCAAGGTAGGAGAGGCGGCCATCAAAGCCATGTTGATGTTCCCCCTCCCCTTTGCGTTCCCTCACGCTGTGTACATGCTCTTGCTGGAACCCTGGGTAATCTAACTGTTATTGATTCAATCTTTCTGTAGGAAGAAGAACTGAAGCAGGGAGTAAGTTATGTTCCCTACTGCAGGTCTTAACTAACTGTGGAGGGGCCTGCCATCCTGCTGTTGTTCTCATTGCTTTTGCCTCTAATGTATGTTCATGCTTCAGTTTGGAAAGAGAAAAAAAAATCATACTAATTTGCTTCCTTTTCAATGTAGTGCTTGAATGGACACCTACAAAAGTTAGCATTTTTTATGACTATTACTACTGTCAGCATCAAAACAAGAGCTATTAGATCTTTTAGAAGAGGGGAAAAAATTGTAATTTGTTGGAACCTTTCTAGATCTCCAGCAGTCTACATTTCAAACCAGTCTCATGCTTTTCTGGTTTGTTGATCAGACCCTTCTCGTAGTAGAGAGATGCCTACCACCGCTACTAAAGTTACACTAGGAAAAGTCCACAGACTCAAGCTACTCTCTACAGCCTCTCATGCTGTCAACCACTTAGTTCAGTATCCATTTTAATGGAAAGGCGTGGGACCTCCTTGTATAAAAATGTCAGCCAATTGCATCTCTTTTCATTGCATAAGTATTAAGCCCTGTCTTCCCTGTCACCAAAATGTGTTCAACCTAAGAGAAACACTGCCCATTGTTTAGTTCTTGCAAGCAGAATCCCTACCATTGGTTCATAATAATCTCAAAAGAACAGGTAACTTTCAGGCTTTCTCTTATCACCAAGAACCTTTCTGCTCTGGGAGTTCACAAGGCCCTTACATATGTCTTCTCCGGAAGCAGGAGCACCGTGACTCTCGTAACCGTAGTCTAAACTGGAACCCTATGTCCACAGGGTCAGGTCCAGGGCCAGCAGAGGGAGTAGCATACTCAAAAAATAACAATAACAAACTAGAAGCAAAATAACAGCAGCTTTAATGTCAAGTGCATGTACTCTTGCTAGTGTTAGCAGGAAGTTTCACGTTATTTCCTGGGATCGATTAGAACCACAGCCTGTCCGATTTCAGCGTACCTTTTATTCTTCTGTATTCTCTTTCCTATTATTCATTGTGTGTGTTTGTGTGTAACAAAGAATGTCTGCAAAATGCTGGACACATTTTTACCCTTCATTCCCACGGTCTGTAAAAAAGGAAAGTGTAAAACTAATCTGTAATGTTAGACAATAAAGACAATGTATGACACTATTTTGTATTTTGTGAAAAAAATTTACTCGACTAGAGTCAAATCTGACAGAGAGAGAGTCGCCCTGGGTGAAGGACGGGCACGTATAGCCTGTGCCGTTGCCCGTAAAGCCACACGCGGGGTATTGCTATTATACTTCCAACACACTTAGATCATGCTAGACAAGAATGCCTTGCTGTGCCACTTCTCTTTGCAACAGCCTCTTTTCTTTCCTGTCTCTGACTTAGCATGTGCACAGAAAAAGGAAAAAAAAAAGGCTAACTATAACCTTCTTCCGCCAAGTGGAGAGAGAGGGCAGTCATCCTCTAGACAGTCAGCCTCCCTTGAGCAAGGTCTCTCCTGTACCCCTTTCCTGCCTCTTCCCAGGCTACCTGTTCTGGAAAGGCTTAGTGGACCAGTGGGTTCACGAACATATGCTGCCCAGAGCCAAAGCTTGGCTGAGGCTGAGCACGTAGAGCAGTGTCCTGCCTCCTTGCCTTCCCGTTCCTCCCTCAGAGCCCTCCCCGGCTCCGCAGTCTGGGAGAGGCAGCCCTCAGCTGGGTCCTGCTGCAGAGGTTCTCGTGGGCACCGTCCAGATGGCAGCAGTGCGCTGTCTGGGCACGGAGACCCGTTTACTTGTCTTGACTCATTTGATTTGCTTGTACACTCAAGCCTCTTCTCGAAAAGGACCCGAGATAGTTTGCAACAAAAGTCATCAAAAATTACTTCATAAAATAAATTCAGAAAAATCAGAAACGAAAGAAAAGATAACGCCAATATGCTCATCTTAAGCAGCAAGCGTGTGCCTCAGAGCTTTTTGGCCAGGAGACAAGGAAAAAAAAAAAAAGAAAGAAAAGTAAAACATAATTGGTGGTTTTATCAGAACCAAAATGCCAGTTCTCAGGGGACCAAAATTTCGGTTGGCATGAAATATAAAAAGGAAGTCTTCCCTCAGAGCTTTAGAAGAGGAGCACTAAGTAATGAAACAGATAAATACAGCAGCAGATGTCAAGTGGCTAATTATGACACTGACCTTCAGCTGAAATTAAAGACAGAACCCTGACTGGCCCAGTCTGGAGCAGGCAGTTCTACAAGGAAATGAACTTATGCCATCCCAATGTATAGACTTCCTTTGGTGTAACATGATCTAAGGAGAGAATTTAGAGGTTTTAGTCTGGCGTGTGCTTCTAAATTCTGTTTTTTTATTTATGAGCCTTACCCCTCTGGGGACATTCTCTTTGTAAAATCAGATTTCAGACACTGCGCACAACAAATTGTGCTTGATTTAATAACCTCTACTTGCTTTATCATAAGTCTGTGTGGTTCAATGTATTTTATTATACTGGTATATATAATTCCTACTTATACTGTTTCTTGTTAGAGGTAATGCATGAATTTATTCCCCTCGAGGAGAGAACATGAATTAAAAAAAAAATAGTGCCTGTAATATAACATGATGATTATGGTATCATAAGCAATAAATTTTTTTTTACAAAACTTGCATCAAAACTATCCTACCCTCTTTCTTCTTTGTGTATCTTTAAGATTTATTGAAGGAACCATAAAAAGAACACTCATAAAAAGTTTAGTAATTAAGGCAGCTGGGGTGTAATTGCAGTGACAATATGTTTCAGTTTCTGGTAGACTTCCAGTGCCAAATATCACATCCCAATCTAAAACCAGATATCCTGCCTTTGAGTTCAGAATGTAAGGTCTCAATAAAAATTTTTGTAGAGAGATCACTCGTGTTAGACCTGATTGTAGGGGTCCCCACTCTTCTATCACACCTGTAAGATCTTGACTAAGTCAACTAACTTCCCAGGAATCTATTAAAAACACACTGAAAATAACACAGCTCAGAGGGTTGTTGTGTAGATTTTCAAAGATAATGGATGTGAAAGCACTTTGTAAAATACTATATGCATGTCAGATACTAGTATAAAATTGCATATAGATGTATACACATGTGTCCAACAATATGCAAACTTTTCTAACTGGACCCCTATTTTACACACATGCACATACACAAGCACACCTTCCCTACTCCTCCCTCCAGTTAACTAAGTGTCTTGGTCAGAGCAGGAAAGTGAAACATTTCAAATCCTGTCTCCTGCCCCCACTTTCTTCTCTCTTTACAACTGGAGGCCCTATGAACTCAGGAAATCCTGGTCGCTCAGCCTCCTACTTCTCCGAAACACACTATGGAACATGAACAGGCCAGAAATGATGAGTTTTACCAGCATCAGTTCACCTTCTTTTCCTTTCCTTGCCCATCCTCTCTGGTGGGTATCCTGTGGAGGGGGTGATGCGGTCACAGGTGGAATAGGGGAGTTGGAGGGGGCAGAATTCATCTCACAAATAATCAACTGCGGTATTAGGACTAACATCTAGTCTTCAAAACATAGCCTCTCAGACTCTCTCACTCTCTCTCACTACCTTTTTTTTTCTTTTTAAGATTTTATTTATTTATTTGACAGACAGAGATCACAAGTAGGCAGAGAGGCAGGCAGAGAGAGAGGAAAGAAGTAGGCTCTGTGCTGAGCAGAGAGCCCGATGCGGGGCTCGATCCCAGGACCTTGGGACCATGACCTGAGCTGAAGGCAGAGGCTTCAACACACTGAGCCACCCAGACACCCCTCACTACCTTTTTTAAAATCAGGGGTTAGTCCATTAATTCTAGGAAAGTAAAAATTATTTCTCTACTTAAAAACCTGAGGAGATGACCTTCTAGTTCAGATTAAATCTAGCCCCTTTTATGACATCAGAGACCCCCAAACCTGGCACCACCCCTCACCAGCCTCAGTCTCCTCCGTTCTCCATGATGAACCGGTGCGTCCACCATCCTGGCTCCCTCACGCTTCCCTTCCCTTGTTCATGACACGCTAAGGCCTGGAATGTTCTTCTCTCCTTGCAACACATCCTCTCTTCTGCCCCGAAATCTCCACTATTAAGACCCAAGTCAAGTGATGCCTCCTGCCTGACCTGTCAGAATTAGTCACCTCATCTGTGTCCCCGCAGCACTGTGGACACAGCAATCCCTTTAAGGATAGTCAGTGAATGCGTACTGGACGAAAGGATGACAAGAGGGTCAAACATAGCCAAACACTGCTCTGCTGTACCTTCTCAAGCTGCTAACGAAAAGCAGGTGGACTGGGCTGTGTTCCCAGCCAAACCTGAAAGGCAGACTTTTCAGCCACGGGGAGGATGTCCACCCCTGTCTCGTGGTCATCTGCTCAGCCGCATCTCCAGGAACAGCTGTTTCAGCGTTTACACATTTGGTCCTTTCCCTGAAGCCTCCCTCCTTTCTGGTGCTGAGAGGAAACCAAAATACTTCCTGGAAAAGAATCAGAAAAATGTATGGATTTTGTCAGCCTTCTTAAAAATTGATACAAGAGCAAGTTGAGAGGACTCAGAGGATGAAGTGCAGAAATGAATTTTTCATTTATTCGCTAGGAAGCGAGCTATTCTAAATTTGCCAAGTATGATGTATGTTTTCCTTCTTCCATAAATCAACTGTTCTCTCAGGAATTTTAGATCTCTATATTGATCTGCATGGACCATTGTCCCTTAAGTCTTCTCTCCATTAATCATCAAGTAATTTCCAGGAAAGGATGTTCACAGAGATTACGCACTCTAACTCTTCTGAAGTTGTTGGCAGACAACCAGACTTCACAACCAGGCCAGAGGCCACCATCCACAGGGGTCACCACCTGACAATGAAACCCAGTGATATCTCCACTGATCTACCCCAATGCCAAGAGGCAGTTGCCCCTTCCTAGTGACCCTAAAGAGAGAGCTGGAAGGAAGGCCAGAGATGGCATTCCCAGCAGTAGGCCCCAGGAAATGCATCAAACTGGACAGTGTCCAGACAAAGAGACATGATCCCCAGGGAGCCAGGGCCCTCCGCTCCCCAGAGTCTGGACACGCGGTGGGTGTTGGGCATTGCAGGGAAGATGCCAGTGAATCGTGTCTCCAGCACAGAATCTCCACTTAGTCCTCACACAATCAGACTGCTTGAAATTGCACCAATTAGAGATTCATTTAGGAGATGGTGGCTCTCCGTCACTCACACAGCGGTGTAATTTAGATTCAGTCTGTTGTTTTTCCCTTAACACATAACTACAGTCAATTATTTGTCTCTTAACACAGAACCACTAATAGGGGCTTTGAAGGAAGGAAGCAGGCAGGAAGAAGTGGGGAAAGCTGATTTTGGAGACCAGGCAGTACAAAGCAGGGAGCATTGGGAGTGGAAGTGCCTCAAACACAGCGGGAAAGCTCAGGGCGTGAGCAGAAGGGGAGGTAAGAGACTTACAGACCGGAAGGTTCCAAGGACCAGGTTATTGCCCAAGGCGGGGGGGGGGGGGGGGGGGCGCAGGCAGCCCCGTGGGCTCCCTGTACTGGAGAGCCCAACGAACAGGTGCAAGCAGCACCAGGATAGCCATTAAAATACCGAAATGCACACCCACAGCCCCACATCTGAAGTCACTGGCTCCAGACAGGTCCCAGGAGTCAGAACCTCTCGGGCTTTAGAAAGGCCTTGCAGCGCAGGGAGCACATACACAGCTTCAAATCCTTATGAAACAAAGTACTTTGCTTTTTGGATTTCAGATTTGCAGCTAAGAGATTTGCACCTGCATTTCTGCAGTGATTGATAAGCAGCCTGCAGGCTCTTCCACCCCTGGGGCACTCACACTCTCCCCGCTACCGCAACCGGGCAACTGAAAGGTATCCTCCAACCCAGCCAGAAGCCCTAGGCTGCTACTCCAACACCACGGATGGGGCCAGGCCCTGCACCTTCTCAGCTTCAGGCTGCTAAACCTTTCTCGTTAGTGAAGCCTGCAATGGGTGGTCCTGATGCCTTTGGTCCTCAGAAGCGACTGTGGGGCTGTGGGAAAGCCCCAGGCTTGCAGACGAAAGGGGGATCCACTTTGTTTCTGCCATTCTCTGGCTTGGAGGCTTCGGGTAACCGCTACCACCTCTGAGCCTCAGTTGGCTAACCTGAAAAATGGGAATATAATACTTAATACAGTTGCTAGGAGGATGAAGTGAAATAGTTGGGGTTAAATTAATTTATAGATGGCAAACTCCTATCCGAATATAAGCAACTATCATTCCTAGCTCCAATAATGGGGAGAATGTTTTACAAACAATGTATGTAAAAGTGCTCTGGCCACTGTAAGTTACATAAAAAAGTGCCATTGTATTATTATTATTACTACTATTACTACTACTATTATTATTATTATCAGGAAACTCCTACCCCAGAAGAGGGTCTGGCTCCCCAGAATTGAGGGGGTAGCCCAGCTGCATAGCCAAGAGGAGCCTCCTTCCTTGAACCCCTCTGTCCAACCTCCCATCCCAGTCCCTCTTCCCTGCTGTGTGACTGGTCCTTGAGGAAAAGGACGGGTAAGGGCAAGAAGCCTGCCAGGGGCCCCGCCTGGCTCAGGGCAGAGGAACTCCTTTGAGGGCCCCTCAGTAGCCCAAACACAGCCAGGCCGCTGCATTCCAGGGTAGCCAGAGCATCTGTGCATCTGACCCCAGCCCAGGCTCTCCCGCTCAACCTCCCCCAGCCATCCTCTTGACCTCTCTGGGCATTGCGACCCACACTTGCACGTTTAAAGTAATGATGCTTAGTATGGTTGGTCGTGGAGAGAAGTCAATGGGGAGGCACATGAAAACCCCTCTACCTGGCAAAGCGCGACGAAAAAGTGAAGTCATTTCTTATCGGTGTGGGGAACAGGAGGATACCACAGTAGCTCAGAAGCGGAGGTTTCGTGGTTAATGAGACTGAGTGGCAAAGTCTGCTGGGGGAAATCAGACGCGTCCTTGAGCAGGCTGGGGCCACAGGCTGCCAAGGGTCACGCTCTTCCCTGGGCCCGGACAGACCATTCAAGGTACTGTTGAGAGTGAAAGAGTGGCATCCCCAGCCCATCGGCGTCACATGAGTTCTTTGCTCTGCTCTGTTCTCTTTTGCCTCGTTTCTAATTCTAGATTTTTCTCAATTTATAGATTTGACTTTTGTGTGTGATGCTGAGCCCCAGAAAGCTAACAGCATGGCATTTTCCAGAACTGATGTTGTGTGTCTTAACTGCAAGCAGACCCCACAGCAAAGTCTAAATCGAATAGTCCAGAGCACTGCTCTCATGGGGCATGCCACTGGGTCTGAATGCATTGATGGTCAGTCTCTGGGTCTTGCTGTGAAAGAGTCCTCCGTCTCCCTGGCCGGACCCAACAGACTGGAATGGAGTTTATGTGAACACCCAATGCACATGAGGGTCGCACCGCATTTTCTTACTCATGACTGGCTTCCTTTGTAGACTAATTATCATAACACGGGAAAGCTTTCCAAGAAACCTCATTGTAGAAACAAAGCTGTGAAATTCAAGGTGTGAACGGTTTCATGCCTAGGACTGTAGTACAGACAGAAATGGCTTTTCGTTATTTTCTACTTTTTTTCCTTACTCACTTTTAAATCTCACTGTTCTTATTGCTAAAATAACTGCTTTTTCATAGACACAGAGAAGGACATTCCCTACAGAAAATGTGGCCCAAAATCCCTAAAGTAGCCAAAAATTAGAAACCGAGAGTTCTTCTCTCTTCCCCATTTGAATCAAGTCACAGAGCAATTTGACAAAGTGAACTTTTGCCCCAAAATAGGGATTAAACAACTTGTGCCTCATTTGATCCTTAATTGGAGACTCAATATGCACGATATTATGTGGCATGATCTGACCTATAAATTATCCTCTAAAGATCATGCCAAGACAGAGAGACTGAAAATTTAGGAATTATACAAACCACATCCATCCCCAAGAGTCTCCTAGTTTATATTTCAAACTCTATCCTGAAATGTCTTTTTGTTCTACACGGAACTTCCCTCAAAGAGGAAACAGACACACCTTGTAATTATCACCGCTTACCAGTAGCCTCATTCCACCGGCACACATCTCCCGTCCTATAGAACAGTCCTCTACTAATATTCTTAACTTCCAATATGTAACCCAAACTCCAGACTATAGCCATGTGGTCCTGAATTATGTGCCCTGGCAACTCAGGTTTAGGATTACCGTCTGCATGACCCCGGGCGTCCTCCTGCTGGGGAATCGTCAAGGTTACTGTTTTTAACCTTTGCCTGAGGCTTTGGGAAAACCCGTTAATGACTTGCCTTGTCTCTCCAGACGCAGGGGGCAGGTTCTCCTCGCTCCTCCCCCAGCCACACCATCAGCCGGCCCATCCCCATGCCGGTGCGCTCCGCGTCCGCCTGCTCCAGCCCGTCGCACACCCCTCAGGACTCCCTCACGGGGGTCGGGGGAGACGTTCAGGAGGCGTTTGCGCAAAGTAAGTGGCGGGCACTGGTTGTCGCTGCGTTCTGCTTCCCTCCGCGGCAAGTGGGAGCCCGCGGTGTGCTGGGCGGGTAGAGTTCATCAGAGCCACCGAGCGGCTCGGCCCGCGTGGCCCTCGTCCCGACTGGTCTGGAGACTCCATAGGCGGGTCAGTTTCTCACTTCACCGTCTTCCGTTCCTTCGGCTTCTCTAGCCCGGCTCCACTTTTTAGGAGCCTGTGCGCATTAAGGGAAGGGAAATCCTTTCACCGGTATCCCAGGAAACTTTATAAATGGAATCCATTTTAAAATTCCGAAAGATCTTATTTCCTGCTTTCTTCTCTTGGTGTTAAAGCAAACTCAAGATTGAGGTTAAACTGTCCCAGCTGAAGTGGGATGGAGCCCCGCGGCGATCAAGCGGTCGCTCCATCATTTGACAGCTGCCCTCCAGCCTCTGTAACGTGGGGCCCTGGGGTTCAGCCTCCACAGTCAGTGGAGAAGCCCCAAGAGTGATAAATACAACCGTATTCTCCCACCTGCTGCGTTTTCCATTCACACACACACCAGGGGTAGGGGCAGGGTCCTCAAGGCAAGCGGTTTTGTGCCTTTGGAAATACGTTAACCCCCTGTGAAACTTTTTTTGCCATCGCTTTTTAAATCTACAGAAAGTTCAGAAAAAAGAAAAATACCTTCCTACGGGACCCTCACCTTGCCAGTCTCATTCCCAAACTATTAGACAGTTTGGTCCTTCTCAGCTTTTCATTTATATATGATTATACGTAATTTTTACAAACACCTACTCTTCTTTTTCACTCAAACAAGACCATGCATTGTATTTTGGTCTGCAGTTTGCATTTTCTTTAGGTTAGCAGTATATCATGAACAACTTTCCAGGTCCTCACATAGAGATCTAAGGAAAAGGGAGATAAATTCGATTACAAGTTTTAAGGCAAAAATAAATAAATAAATAAAGTCAAAAGACAAAAAAATAGACTGAGGAAGACATTTCCAGAGTATGTGGCAATTGAGTTTCACGATTGTAGTGCCACATAAAGCATGTAGAGATCAGTAAGAAAAGAGTTCTGAAACAGAAACAGGTGAAGGATACGGACAGAAGAAGCATTATAAATTGCCAATAAAGATATAAAAGGATGTCCAATCTCACAAACTGTTGTAGAAATACAAATATCACCTCTCGCTTAGCAGATTAAAAAAATTAACTTTAATAATAGGCAGAGATTGCAAGAGTATGAGGAAAGAGACACTCATGCATTGCGTATGGGGATAAAATCTTACATTTTAAAGGAAGAGAATGATGTACTGTCTACTCTGCGAGAGAAGAATAGATCCATAAGAGGACTTTTTCTTCTGAAAAAGAAAATAAGTTATACAAAATAAACTTTTTTTAATTTTTAGAAGAAAAAAAAGTCCTTTCTCTCAATTTCATCTTGAAGAAATTTACAGCATTTTTAACCAAAATGAGCTTTCAATTATCATTGTTTTATCTGACTCTTGACTTTTTAATTTACATATATTTATTATTTTACCTATTGAGGTTTACTTCCGGAGAAATTACCAGAAGAGCTGTTGTGGCTTAGGGGCAGCCCCTAGCTCATAAAGAGCTCATGCTTTGTGACCTCATCTACAAGTCAGGTGTTCGGAATCTTGAGCCCTTTTTTTCCAAGATGTTATGGAGCCCTCTGTTCCACCTCTACCTCACACCCAAGCCAGTCCACAGACACCCATTTAACCCTTTGTGTGCCTGAAACCTCATCGTAATCTTTGTCCGCCATGAAAAATCATAGTCGAAGTTGGAATTCAAAGTCCCAGATGTACACCTTCTGCCCAGGTCTCGCAGCAGGGGCAAGAATCCCCACCCCATCCCACGCTCTGGGGCATTTGGTGGAGAGGGTTCCCACTCCCCAGAGATACCTATAATGGTAGGTAGGGGGAACTCCAGGAGCCCTGATGAGAAACAGAGGCTGTGGTGATGGAGATCAGAATCCGGTGTGCTGGCCACCAGGTCATGGCAGAAACAGTAGCAGCAGCTGGCAAGATGTAGCTCTCCCGGCAAAACCAGACTTTACATCTGTGTGAGTTTTCCTTAAAAAAGGCGGCTATAGATACTAGCTGACCTGGGACCATCCCAGTTTATGGCAGGTCACCTAGTCTTATTATTATGGCCAGCCCCTTTCGCTCACAAACTTGTCCTGATTTGCACAGTAAGTTGAATGAACCCCTCTGTCATCTGTGGCCACTGCCCTAAGTACAATGTATTGTTTCAGAAAATGAATCAAAGCACTTCTGAAAAGGAGAAGTCTTTGAAGTTCTCTTGCTTCAGGATTATCAATGTAAATGATAAACTGCACAAAAATTTGGGGGGGGGGAGGACAAGCTGTGTTCTGTTTTTTTAAATTATCATTTCTTCTTCACTCAAGGTTCAAGAAGAAATTTAAGGAATGACTTACTAGTCGCTGCAGATTCCATCACTAACACCATGTCCTCGCTCGTGAAAGAGCTGAATTCGGGTGAGTCCCCAGTCCCCTCTAGGCTGTCCGCTCATTGCAGAGGTACCAATAAGTGCTAGGGGCCTCTGTTAGAGATCTCATTGTCAAGTAGGAAAAGATATACTACAGATCTATGTGATACTTTGTTAGTATATTCAGACTTTTTAGTACTATTTATATTTCACTGATTGGAAGACGGTTAATACATGCTCAATGCAGAAAGTTTGAAAAATACAGAGAGGAATAAAGAAATATACCAAAATTGACTTGTAAACCTAGTTTGGTTTTTTTTTTTTAAAGATTTTTTTTTTTAATTTATTTGACAGAGAGAGATCACAAGTAGACAGTGAGGCAGGCAGAGAGAGAGAGTGAGAGAGGGAAGCAGGCTCCCTGCTGAGCAGAGAGCCCGATGCGGGACTCGATCCCAGGACCCTGAGATCATGACCTGAGCCGAAGGCAGCGGCTTAACCCACTGAGCCACCCAGGCGCCCCAAGTAAACCTAGTTTTTGTAATATCTGATATTTGTAAGGTATAATATCATGATCCAAAGTGACATGATGCTAAAGTTATTTCTTAAAGTCAAATGTTTTATTTACTCATTTAAACTCTGTTCATTGGGAATGCATGGCTATTTGAATGAGGCTAAATGGAAATTTACCTTTGCAATATGTCCAAAGAAAGATCTTTCCAGAAAATAAAGAGCACGACATTGAGAGGGACTCTTTATTCTAGTAATACTACACAGTTTTTAAAACTTTAACAGCATGACTATGCAGATAAATATTTTACCAGTTACTAATATATCTCATCTGTTCCTTTAGCCTCCCAGCAAGATAGTTGTCTGACAGTCACTAAGTTTGAGATTAAACTATTATAAGAAATACAACTTTAAGGGGTGCCTGGGTGGCTCAGTTGGTTAAGCAGCTGCCTTCGGCTCAGGTCATGATCCCGGGATCCTGGGATTGAGCCCTATGTCCAGCAACTTGTTCAGCGGGAAGCCTGCTTCTCCCTCTCCCTCTGCCTGCTACTCTGCCTGCTTGTGCTCTCTCTCTCTCTCTGTCAAATAAATAAAAATTATATATAAAAAAAGAAATACAACTTCAATTTTAAAAAGATTCTGGATTTAGGTTTCTTAAAGCCTCTATAATAAGAATTAAAGTAATAAAAATTGTTGCTGCTAGTCTAAATTAAGATTACCAAGTAGGATAAAAATGGCAGTAGTTAATACATCACAACTAATGACGTCTACCCACAGCCCTAGCACATGGTGACTAAAACGTTGTTCTCATTGTGGAAGCTTCAAATACTATCAGTTTATACTCACAATACTTTGAGATATTAAATGAATATATTATCTTAGTTATATATTTCCTGTATTAAAGTAATAGTAAGGGGCACCTGGGTGGCTCAGTGGGTTAAGCCTCTGCCTTCAGCTCAGGTCATGATCTCAGGTCCTGGGAAAGAGCCCTGCATCAGGCTCTCTACTCAGCAGGGAGACTGCTTCCTCCTCTCTCTCTGCCTGCCTCTCTGCCTATTTGTGATCTCTGCCTGTCAAATAAATAAATAAAATCATAAAGTAATAGTAAGCAAAAGTAACAGCAGTTCTCATGAAGACTTTTGTAGAAGGGAAAAACAGATGTATTAAGAAATTAATTCTGGAGCACCTGGGTGGCTCAGTGGGTTAAAGCCTCTGCCTTCAGTTCAGGTCATGATCCCAGGGTCCTGGGATCGAGCACCCCGCATTGGGCAGGAAGCCTGCTTCCCCATCTCTCTCTTTGCCTGCCTCTCTGCCTACTTGTGATCCATGTCTGTCAAATAAATAAATAAAATCTTAAAAAAAAAAAGAAATTAATTCAGTCAAGACACAGAAACTCCTCAATATGTTTGAGATTAAAAAAGACAATATTGTATATACCTAATGATTTTCTAGAAATTCATGTCAATATCAAATGGCATTTTGGGAAAAAAAAGATAATAAACTCACCTGACTTATGTACCACAACTGGTTAATGTTTTCCACAGCACAGGCTGACTTATGTTAAGCCCAGCAGCCCTCTTATTTGCCAATCACTAAAAAAAAAACTAAGTCATTCTTCATTTCTTCCATGGTACCTAACAGAGGTGGGGAGTGAAACAGAGAGTAACGTGGATTCTGAATTTACGCGAACTCAGTTTGAGGATCTGGTTCCATCGCCCACCTCGGAAAAGGCTTTTCTAGCACAAATCCATGCCCGGAAACCTGGGTACCTCCACGGCAGCACCCCCCCCAGCACCATGCGCAGTGACGTGTGAGTATCTTCGGCTGGGGGGGGTCTTTCTCAGGAACACAACACTCTGTAGACAATATAGGAAAATAGAAACGTGGTTGCTTCATTCTTTATTTCAGAAAGGGATGATGAAGTTTTCTTTTTCTGCCAGATGAGGTAGAAGGATGGATGCTACATTAAATTGGGTGTTCGAACCATAAGTGACTCTTAATCTCACAAAACAAACTGAGGGTTGCTGGGGGGAGGGGGGTCAGGAGAGGGGGGTGGGGTTATGGACATTGGGGAGGGTATGTGCTATGGTGAGTGCTGTGAAGTGTGTAAACCTGGCGATTCACAGACCTATACCCCTGGGGATAAAAATACATTATATGTTTATAAAAAAAATAAAAAATAAATTTAAAAAATTGGGTGTTGGGACTTTTCTGCCTTCATACTACCCAGAATAGCCATAACCAAAACCAGCCGGTACTTGTTGAGAGCCTGGCACGCCCAAGGCGCGGGGTAGGTGTACTCAAAATAGTATTAAGGAATCCCTCTCTGCCTTTCAGGACTCACAGACTCGCTCAGGAGATAAATCATCCTACCTTCTAAATGTACTGTATTTGCCCGTAGAGGACCAGGTGATGCTGGAGAGGCCTCTCTTCAGAATGGGTGTGAACAATGTTATCTAAGCACCTGGGATTGAAATCAATGAATGTCTAAAGCCTCATTATAAAGAAATCCAATCTGGTGGACTTGTTGAGTATGTGTAAATCTGACCTTTGAAAGGCATTTTGCAAAGATTCTCATCCAATTAGGCTTCTGTGGCTTGACAGAAAGCAGCAGAACCCGTGACATCCCCTCTAGACTTGTCTGTGTCCCTGGATCAGCTCAAACTCAAAGCAGACAGGCCTAGGAACCCAAAGCTGAGAAGCAGAGGGGGAGGCCCTAGGACGGGCTTGCTTGAACCCAGCGTGGGTGGGAAGGAAGGCTGGGAAGCAAGGGGAGCCTGCAAGAGAGGGGGGCTCAGGTAGCTGTGGGAAAGGTGGACAGAGAGGCTCACCGGAGGGTTCCAAAGGGGTTCCCCGAGCATTACAGACCAGGAAGGTGATGGTGCTTAATGTGAAAAATGCTGTAGACTAGTCTACAAAAGTAAACTGGCCATTTTCAGGACCCAAAGAAGAAACGAACCAGAGGCCCTTCTGGTGTTTTGGATCTCAATCCAAGTAGTGAGTAGACCAGTAGTAATGGGGAGCTATAAAGAGATGTGGTTGGAAAGCGGGTGGTGAAAAGGCAGGCGGAGAGATGCAAACAAAACTGTTCTAACATAACTTTAAGTAGCAGTAGGCTACTTTTGGTTTGCTTTCCTGTCCTTTCCTCGATAATTTAGAATTATCTGATTTGCTTCTTATTGAAAATGGTGAATTAACTGTTGGCAATGTAGTCTGGTAAGTAACCTCTCTGATTTTTCAGAATGAAGCATTTACATGTGCTTACCTGAAGTTTTCTTGTTCTAATCCAAAAATCCAAGACTGTAGCTAACTCTACCCCATTCCACTGTCCCCAGCATTCTGGTGACAGTATCAGCTACCACCAGGCTGCGGGACTTGGGAAGGGAAAGTTCACAGAGGCCTCGCAGTCCTATTTAGGCTGGCCCCAAACCTCTAAAAATAATGAGAACATGTTGTACAGATATAAATAAACATGAACAGTGGCATTTAAGTTCCAGCTCAGAAACTTCTACTTGATCGCCCTCTTCACTTTAGGGCATGTCTTAATATCTGTCCAATGTAAACAGACACCGGGTTTTACTCTGAGAGTATTTTAATCATATGATTTAGGTAGTGAATTTATGTTTAGTCTCAGAAAGGGTTTTTATAAACGGGGATGGAGAGATGCGAATAGAGTCACACATTAGTGAATGAGATCATTCTTCGCTCTTTATCTCATGATAGAATTGAACAATTTGAGATGATTTCTTAGATTCAGAACTAGTATGAATTTTTTAAGATCAAGAGCTGTGGGTTCAAGTATGACCTCCCTGACACCCATGAGCTGATTATTCTAAGACTTAATCTACTGTAAAAAATAAAGTACATGGGTGCATGTCCCAGCACAAAGAGGGGGTAAATTATGAACAAATGTCCTTAATCATTATTTCACTAGAGGGCTCACTTTCCTTATAGAAAGTGTTCTTGGATTCCAACTTTAAAGAAATTAAAAAGCCCGCAGATTGGGAAAACTATATCCTCTCCAAAGATAAGGCCACCTCTTTTAAGACTCACAAACACTTTAAAGGCAATTCACTTCTGTAAACCAGAGGAAAACACAGATGACCAAGGATCATCAGAATGCCTTAGAAAAATTACATATGAGAATGCCTTGATCATTCATTTCTCCAAACTTCCAACGTTTGTGTTTTGTTTTTTTGGGTTTTGGGGGATTTTTTGTTTTTGTTTTTGTTTTTAATTATCTGTTAGGTAACAGAAGATGTTGAATTGAAGTGAATTGAAGCCAAGAAGAGAATTCGGGGACTCAGTTAATTGGGGCCAAAAACCACAGCTAACACATGCATTCCACTCCTACGTTTAAGATTTGCTCCTAAACACCATTTGTGGTCTGTTCCCAGGGTCTCAGAAGACGGGGACCCCTACGTGCGGCCAGACGATGAGAACTATGAAAACGACTCAGTCCGGCAGCTGGAGAATGAGCTCAAGATGGAGGAGTACCTGAAACAGAAGTTACAAGATGAGGCCTACCAGGTATGGGCAGCCAGGCCCGACCCCAGCACCCCACCCCTCGGTAGCTGGGTCTTTTACATCACTCAGAAAATCCGTCCCTTCTCCTTTCTTCCACTCTCCCTCTCCAGAATATTCTTTTTTTTTTTTTTTAAGATTTTATTTATTTATTTGACAGACAGAGACCACAAGTAGGCAGAGAGGCAGGCAGAGAGAGAGAGGAGGAAGCAGGCTCCCTGCTGAGCAGAGAGCCCAATGCGGGGCTCGATCCCAGGACCCTGAGACCATGACCTGAGCCAAAGGCAGAGGCTTTAACCCACTGAGCCACCCAGGCGCCCCTCTCCAGAATATTCTGATTGCATTCCTTAAGCCACATACTCTAAGCAGTTGTAAAATTTTAAATACTTCTTAGAGCTATACTGTTCACCATGAATTCTTAGAAATTCTGATCTGGAAAGTGAAAAAGACCTTGTCCCTTTAGGGGAAACATAGTGACTAACGATTTATACTCCTCTAAGATCATTGGGAAAGATGCAATTTCTCTTAGATTAAAAAAAGAAAATGTAAAGAACAAGGCCTGAAGAAACTGAGTAAGTATAAATATATCTCTTCCCTTGAATCCTTTGTCCTCAGCCACCTTCCCTGCCCACCTCATGTCAAAATAAGTCAGTAGGAGAGTATCACATCTCTCCAAGAAAGGTAGAGGAATTGTAGGCCCCGCGTTCAGCAGGATGTGGATGGACAGATTGTCGTATATACTGGGGTATGTTATTAATCCAGCTGAGAATTCACCGAACATAACACACACAACTGGGAATAAGCGTAATTAGTAAGTCATCCCGAAGGGGATACATTCTCCCCATGGAGACTTTTTACTGCCCTGTTGGTCTTGCTTGTGTGTTTCTCTTCCCTGTGATTCACAGGTATTTTCTTGAGGTTCTGGGAGCTCAGGGATGTTTGCCTGGTTGAGACCTACTGCCCCCCTCACCAGGACCCATGGGATATTTCTTCATGTTGGGCTTTCTGTCCAGTGGCCAGACAAGCCTCCTCCATATTTTTAAGATGAGCAGTGGCTCTCTCTTACTCCGTTAGTGAAGGAAAGAGAAGCAGATAGAATACATTATCTCTACTTCTCAGAATATGTTTATGAATTGTTTTAAAAATATTTTCCCAAGAAGAATGTAGCAAGAGAGAAACTGAAGCATCCCAACCCCATCCCAACAATATAAAACAAAGGTTTTGCCTGTTTGGATGCCCCATTAGCCTTTTCAGTTTAACAACCGTATTTTAGAAACAGCTAAAATGAAGACCTCATCATACCCCATCCCCACCCCCCCAAAAAAGAAAAAAATCAGTGACTATATATATAGGTAAAGACACTCTTCAACACTACAGAAAGAGTTTCCAGAAGTGGAGAACCATGGAGAATGCTCTTTGCCACATCTATGGCCCGTCCACAGAAGGAAATTAGCCTGGGTGAGGCTGCCAGGGTGTCTCTGGGAGTGCTGAGGGATGGCATTCCTACACGAGTTTTATTTGGCTCTGCTGCTGAGAGGGAAAGAGGGATGTGGTTAAATAATCAGTGTTCTGGTTCATGCTGTTAGTGGCGCCTGTTAGGCCTCCCTCTTCAAGCCCATCTTGGTTTCTGGATGTTGGTGACAACAGTCACTGAAGTTCCCAATTGTTTTTTTAACAGGGGATAGTCATTTCGTATAAAATACTAAATTATATTTATTTATATTATATTAATTATATTATAATTATATTAATTATATTATATTTATATTAATTATATATTAATTATATTAAATTTAACCTTCTATGAATAAAATGAAGGGAAATGCTATTAATAGCTTAAGGTGCATTTGGAGTCTTTGCCATCTCTGGTTAATCTTAAGCCCCTTCTCTCCTTTCCATGCCCAGCAACTTCAAGGGAAAGGTAAAGAAAAGGTGTAGGAGACGATAGTAGGCCTGTGTATCCCCACTCAAGGCATATGCCCTAGAGAAGGCTGAAGTGGCGTTCCTTGACTCTTCTGTGAGCATATGGTTCCCTGACGGGTCAGAATGCTGTTTTCATTCATTGAACTCTCACTCTCTGTCCTTCTGCACGGCTTCCAACCAAATAATTCACCAGCTTGACCGCATCACAGACTTGACATGTCACCTTTCTTGTTTGTGTCCTTTGTCACCCGCAGGTCAGCTTGCAAGGTTGAATACAATATCCTTTTATCACTCTCCTCTCAAGTAAGTACTGTCTTATTTAGGAGGAAACATGGCCACCGTACACTGAATTCTGATAACTAGTAACCTCAGTTCACAACCACTCTGTCTTAGGTGTTTCTGTGTTCCTGTGTCATAAATATCCTCCTTCCCTCCTGATGTCAAAGAATCATCCCAGCATTTCATTAGAACCCAGGGGAGACTTGGCAGACAACCTTGGGAATTGACTTTTTACTCTATTAATTAGGAAAATTGGCACAGACACTTCTATAACACCAGAGATGCCCCAGAAATCCTCCAGGTCTGGAGGGCCCCATCACCGGTCCCTAACAGCACCTGACTTTGCAGCTTCTCCGTCACTTGACAAGGGAAAGTCCAGGCAAGCTCAGCATATCCAGAGCTGGGCCAGCCTCAGAGTTGTGCTGTGTTCAGGACCCAGAGACCAAATGTGTGCACCTTAACAAGTGAAGGCAAAACCATGCATTGCTAAAGAAAACAAAAGAAGTGAAACAGAGGGGGCAACTTCTGCAGCGTTTTATCTTTGAAATAGCCAATTCAAATGCATTGTGGAATTCAGCAAGATACAGCTTAATTTAAAATATCATTTACGTGGCATGTGATTCCCCAACCCCAGGGGCCCTAGCAACTTACATGGAAAATCATCAGTCACGTGATTGTGTAGGGAGACTGGCACTTGACTGGCAGGACAACTGGAGTGTAACGGTTTAAAGCTCAGAGCCTGGACTCCGATGGCCCCAATTTCAATAGGGGTGCCACCAAATCGTGGCCGCCTAACCCTGACAAATTATTAAACCCCTCTGAACTTCTGTTCCCTCTGCACAACATATAACATAATACTTACCTCGTAGTGGAGTTGTCCTCATTGGGATGTAGTTTATAAAGAGCTTAACATGGTGCCAGACACACCATAATTTATTGTTAGTGCACATGTATGTGCCCGGCACTGCGCTCACTGCTTCACAAGCTATTCAGTCCCGGGGAGCTGCTGGAGTTGCTACGTGAGTGTAGGGGAAGCCCCCCGGCCCGGGACTCAGAACTAGCTTGCTCTCTGTATTTTTATAAACAAAGCTAGGACTCTGCCGTGTGCAGAGATTTTATACACTTTTGGCTACCCTGTCTTGTAAGTGTAGATGGTGTCTCCAGCTCCAGCTAATGGCCATTTAGCTGTCCCCCATGACAGTTCCAAGTAGATACACCTCTCGCAGTTGCTGGCTGGAGGAGCCCAAGGGCTCGTATCTACTTCAGTGACAGTCTTTCCCAGCTGTGGACTCCCAGACGTCTGTAGTACAGCTGGTCATAAAGTCAGCTCTGTCTGCTAAGTTTAAAAAGGGATCTACTTCTCTTAAATGACACATCAACTTGCAGAGAATAATCCTAGCTCATGCATTACCAACCTCGTGTCTCAGTCCTCGCGTCAGGATTAAGCAAGTAGACATCATGGCAGAGCTCCTATGATGAAATATACTTGACGAGCTCTGAGGCTGTATCAGTGTAACTGACTATGTATTCTGGTCTCCGCCCCTTGGATTTGAGAATGCCACAGCCCGTGCTCTCCTGAGTCATGATGACCACAGTGGAAACAATTCCCAGGAGCCATTTTTTAAAACATCTACTCCCGTTATAACAGATCTAGTCCCAAAGGAGCAAGCCTCTCCTTTCACAGCATTTTCTTTCTCTTAGTGGCTGCGGTTGGATCATTTTTATTCTGCACATTATTTAAACATCAGTCACTAGTTCCTAGAAAAATATTTTCTTAAACAAACTAATGAAATGTCCTTGACATAAACTCAGATAAGAAGTGGCATTTGGGTCTTCTACTGAAAAGCCAAAGATTTCAGTACTCTGAAAGTTCTTAAGCCACTGTTGACATCTTTTGTTGTCAGTTTGGTGGTGAGAAATGGAAACCGTTGCGGCCTCTGCCATTTACTACGTTGTGTGGCTACCGAGCTGGGGTTCCACGGGACTCTAGATATGAGCTAGCCTGTCATGAAATCAGCCACTTAGGCAAAAGGTATTTAACACCTTACGGATCCATCCAAAAGCCAGCTGCGTCTTTGCAGCTAGTTCTATCCTAGTTCTAGATGTAGCCAAGAAATAGAGCTGAAATCTTAGAACAGTTTGTGCTGTGGAAATCAATTGGTTTGGGCTTTCTGACCATGCAGCAAGACCAGAAATTGCCTCAAAGCTGTGCATTTCTTATCCAAGGGTCTGGAAGCCAGCTTCCCCGCTGCAAGTCAATTAGGTGTCCGCCAGGGCAGAGCCCTACACAGGGAAGGAACAGAGGTTGGAACCCCGACAAATAAAAGACCCACCCTCTGGCTCAAAAAAAAGCTATTTGAAAATAAATATGCAGTCATCGGTACTAACAGCAGTGAACAGAGTAAAACCTTGCCTTTCAACAAGTCTCTTTGGAAGAGATACAGTATATGTAACATTTAACACTAAATTTAAGAATCCACCAAAACTCCATTTGGCAGACTCAGATCTTGGATTTGTCCCTCTTCCATCCCTCTCCCCCAGACAGTACACCACTCTCCTTGGCCAGCCACATCCTAACTTCAGAAACTGGGGGCTTGGACAATCAAAAGTGGATTTTTTTTTCTAATTACCATGGCATTTTGATGGTAGGTTACTGGTCTCATCTGCACAAACATTTCCGTTTGCCTTGCTTCGACCTCCAGATGCCTCAAGCTCCCATTAAGCAAGAGACCCAACGCAGAGGACTCCTGTCCTCTCTTTCAGAAGGAGCAATGGCACACCATGTCCCAGGACCTTGGCTCCTGATTGTCAGAGGAAGGGAGGAGAGAGAGTGTGTGAATGTATGTGTGTCAGGGCAGGGCGGGAGGGGTTGCTGGGGAGAACCCTAAGCTTCGCAACCCTAACTTAGGGAACAGTTTTCATCTTTTAAAAAAAAGTTACACGTTCCTTATTCCCAGGCGAGCTATAGTCAGACAGATGATGAAGGTAACACGAAAGCTGGTGATGAAGGAGAGCCCCGCACCCACACCCAGAGAGGAGAAGACACGCCGGGCAGCAGCCTCAGCGGCAAGAGGAGCCCCCCTGCTCAGCCACTCCCGACAGACCCCCACCCTTAGAGACGCGTTCTGCCGACCAGAGCGCAGCTAACTTTTTGTTCTAAGATTTGTAGTTCGTAGCTGTGTGTTTTGAGAAGGAAACAAACAAAAAAGACTTCTGACTCCTGTTCAAAGCTAACTTATCAGTTACATCTTTTGTAACATGGCTCATCCCTGATTAGAAACAAACAAAAAAACAGCCACCACCACACACACGGAGAGAAAAAGGAAAACCCACAAGCTGAAAACCACACTGCTGTTCCTCACGATGGCAGTATTAACAAGCATTTTAAGCCTTTGCACAAGCTATCGAACCTGTTGCGTTTACAATGACAATATTAATACTGTTTATAGCTAGACGTTTGATTTCTGAATTCTTTGGGATTTTAGCAAACTAGTTTATTATACACTGTACATTTTTTTTCCCCTGCAGCAATTGGAAAAGAACAACCACTTGCAATTATACACTAACCCCAAAGGATTTGGTACCTTAGTATACAGACTCAGAGCCCGGAAGCCAAGAAGGGCCCTTGGCCTGTACTGACTGTATTTGTCTCTCAGTGTCTGTGAGCAATGACTTGAACCATCACACCAGGATAATCCAGTCTCTGGGGCTGCTTTCCAACTTGGGGTTGTTTTCTTTCAAGATACTCTAACAAATCAGCCATAGAATTTAGTGTAAATATTTTTTCCAAATAAATATCATATTCAAAAAGACAAAGGCAACGTTCAAATGATATAGACTCTAGTTTTTAAAATCAGCACAGATCTTCTTAAAAACTGTGAACTATGTTTTGAAATACTCGTTGCTAAAGCTGTTTATAAACCACAGGTGCCATACAACCCCCACACGGACTCAAGTTGTCTCTGCTCTTCCAAGGGCGCGTCCCTCTCGTTTCAGCTTTAGGGAGCATGTCTAACCACACCGCTCGTCCACAGCTTCCCCTATCAGGTTGTCTGGAGGCCTTCAGCTTTAAATGTACAGGCTTAAAGTGTGCTTGCAAACGCTCACTCTCCTTTTATTTCTGAATGTTTATTGCCTTAGCTGGCTACCTGGTGTTCTGCATGCAGCCTTCTGTGGTCATGGGAGAGGAAACGGGCTCTTCTAAGTGGAGTTGGGATTTTGCCCTCAGCGAAAAGCTGATGGGCAAAAAGCACAGTTGAAGAAGGAAGAATGAAAGGCTCTGTGGATGGTCCTTTCTGAGGGCCCTTGTCAGGGAGCATTAAAGACCTCCCTTAGGGATTCTGGGGAAATGACAACAGGATCTACTTGTTGCACGACTGGATGAAATAAAATCCGGCAACGTATTGAATACATTATACGTAAATGCGCAGCTTCTCTGGAATTCCTGTCTCCTTTAAAAGAAAGAAGAGAACGTCATTTAGAACAGTGGCTCTCAAAGTGGGGGCCTTGGACTGGCAGCATCAGCATCACTTTGGGAATTTATTTAGAAATGCAAATTCTTAACCCCAACCCGGTCCTGCTGCATCAGGAACTCTGGGGATTGGGCCCAGCCATCTGCGCTTTAAGAAGCCCCCCAGGTGATTCCTGATGCATGCTAAAGGTTGAGAACCACTGCTTTAGAATAAAGTTGCATATAGAACCTCTAAACAGTCCTGGTTCAGGATAAGCAAGAAAGGCTCTGAGTCAACCTCAAAGCTTCAGCAATTCGATTTTGCTCCCGGGGCTGGCCAAAACCCTCTCCCACCCCCCACGTAGGTGGTGGTTGGTGTGTGCCCAGCTGAGAACGGACATCCTGACACCTGCTGGGTCCCTCTCCAGAGGGCGTGTCTGCATCTGGTCAGAAACCATGTCCTTGGCTGCCCTTTGGAACAAAATTGCTTGCCTCGGCGATAGCAAAGCTCCCGGTTGGTGTTAGTAAGAAGCCCACGCTGTCCGTTGATGTGCATCTTCCTACTTCTCCCAGAGAAGCAGCCTGACAAATGTCCCCGAGAACAGGCTTACACCAAAGGGGCACAACTGCACAGTTCTCAGATTTCTTTGCACAGATGGATTTTATTATGAGTTTTGTTGGTTTATCTTAACGTTCATCTCCTTCCCACCGCCCATCATCTGTGAAACCATACCTCTCTAGATGGAGCAGGTGGCCACTCGTGCCTCATACTCAGTACTTAAAACCACTCCATCCCAGCTACCTACATTGCCGTCAGCTCTAACTCATAGCCAGATAGTTCTGGAACTCGGAACTCGGATGCTGCAAGTGGCATTCAGCCCCTGACTGGACTGAGCTGACATCTGTTGTCACTCTGTGTTTTGACATCAAAATGCTTGTCTAAGGTTCGAACCGTTTTGCTGATAACCTTCCCCCTTGTCATAGCTTTCATTGCCAACTCCATGACACGGTTGTCACTAGCATCGTAGAAGCCATTGCAAGGACTCTGGAAACTGCCGCCAATGACCAGTTCCTGACTAACCAGCCGCCTTTTCTTTCTCTTAGCTCCACGTCAGCACTGAGACCAGACCCAAGCACCCCTGTCCTGTAACCGAGACAAAATGGCGTGTATTGTTTTGGGTTTTTGTGGTTTTGGGGGGGTTTCTTTCCTTGGCTCTCCAAATTTACTTTTGGGGCCTGTTCTAAGTGCAAATCCAGACGGTTTCACCTGTCCTGTCCGTGAGATAGTTTTATCTTGCGGGGGTTGTTTCTTTCTTGTTCCGCAATAAGTTGCACATCCATCTCCACCAGAGATGTTGGCCTATTAATGAGCACTGGTCTAACACAGCCAACCACCCCCATGGTGCCATGTGGAGGGAGGGAAGGAGGGAGGTAGGGAGTGGGGGAGGGCAAAATCTGCTGTATGAGATTCAGGAATCAGTTGCGGTTGGTCAGGACGCAAGTCAGGGTAAGTTCAGTTGGTCAGAGAGAGATGTGCTGGAGATGGTGAAAAATGGATTTTCGAGTGATCTCTATAAGGCAGGGAAGGTTCATTTGTAAGTAGTAATGTGAACTGAATTGCATAAGAGTGTGGCCTTTGTTGTGATATACTATGTATTTTCTTATATGCATGAGCCAAACTGTTGCATCATAATTTAGCACTGATGTCTGCTTTTATTTTGATCATCTTTGTCCGCCCTTATTGGTTCTTGGCTGTTAACTGTAGATAGACCTTGTAAATACGGCGACCTTCGGTTGCTGCAATCACCTTGGTTTGATTCCGCGCAAGGAGCCACAAACAAGAACTCCACTGTGTCCTCAGAAGAAAGGGCATTTTTACTTTTGAACCAAAAAGAGAAAAAAAATCAGAAATGTTCCATCTTGAGGCTAATTAACTGTAAGACGTTTTTAATTATGACTACTGTCATTTGACACCATTTGAAATAACCAATTCAGAGACACTAAAGATTTCACAATATTCACTGGTATTGTAACAAAACTACTATTGTATGGGTTTTTTTGTATTGCTGTTAAGTATTGTTTTGTGTGTGTGTGTGTGCGTGCTGGAACCTCCAGGAGACATGTTATATTTTGAAGTGATTAAACTATTTAATTGTGTGTCTATATTTTGGAATGGAATTATTTCTTCATTAAAAAATGTTTTTAAAAACACTATATCTGTGTCTTTTATTTCCTTCTTTCAAAGAATCTTTCTTGAAGTAACATGGAGTCAGTCTGTTCAAAGGGGAAAGACAAGTCAGCACTTGCAGCATGAAGCAGCCCCATCGGTTGAGTCTTAACTACAGCAAAATATCTCCCTTTTCCCTGCCTATGGAAGAGTTCACGATTTAGCGCTTGCTTTATATCTGACACTGTTATAAGCTCTTTATGTTACTCGACTCGATCCTTTGAATCTCAGCACCTAGCCGGGTACTTGACAATTATGAGCTGCACAATGATATGTCCAGTGAATGAATAAATGAATTAGTAGCTTTTGTCTGTGCTAGAGCTGGTGAGAAAGGAGAATCAGCACACCCTGGAGGTCAACGTGTTGATAGCAACAGGAATCAAATTAAAAGTTCCAAAGAGTGGACAAAAACTCAGAGTCCACAAAGGCGATCACTCCCTCCATTCTCATTTCTCTTCCAAGAACCACTGGATTCCCATGTGGTGTTGGGTTGTGTGTTTTGTTTGCATAAGGAGCCAATTCCTTGGCGGAACCATAGCAGAATCTGTCAGGCTCCAACACTTCATGAATGGCATTTTTTGGAACTCTGACTTGGAACGGTGCTGAAGGTCTGTGCTCACAGAGTCTGGGGTTGATTTACAGTTCATGAAAATGCTATAAACACTCAAGAGGCACTAGAGAAAGAAATCGAGAGGCTCTGCAGGACATCAACGCAGAGGCAAGTCCTGACCTGATGTGACCACTAGTAGGCGCTCAGACCCACCCACCCACCCAACCCCCGCCCCCATTTGGAGGGGAGCAACAAAGGCATTTCCGTGGGTATCTGCCCAAGTCTCACTCAGCTGTCTCTGGTGCCTCATCCCCTCACCTCCTAGGGGCCATGCCACTTCAGTGCTGATCCCTACCTCCGCATTTCTTAAATTTATCTAACTGCCAAAGTCACCTGAAAAATTGGTTAATCTGAATTAGCAGGTCTAGGCTGGAGCCAGGGAATCTGTATTTTAACAAGTGCTTCAGGTAATACAGTCTGACAAATTTTAAGAACTGCTATCCTCTTGCTACTCAAAATGTGGTCCAAGGACCAAGAGTATTGGCATCACCTGGGATGTAGTTACAAACACAAAATCTCGGGCTCCAAACCGGACCTACTGAATTAGAGTCAGCATTTCATCAAGCTCCCCAGGGAATCTATGTGCTGACTTGAAGTCCAGCTTTAATCCTAGCCTTCCAGGATGAGGTTCAGTTGGGTCCTCCTTAAACCAAGATAGTGCAGAGCTTCTCGGACTTAAAGAGTTTTGATTTAGTAAGTTGATGATGCTGATACTGATCTGAAGACTACAAGGCTATGGAATTCTTTTAACAAGGTTAAGTCTAGGGAACTTGTTACTGGTAAGTCAGATATGTGGATTTCTCTACATAGTAGGAGAGATACTCGAGTCTCAGGGCTTGAACATAATGGCAGCTCGGTTGGTTGGAGCCGCTGAGGTAACACCACAGTGGTTAACCTCTGCTATAAGCCCTGGAAGACTGGTAGCAGCTGAATTTAAGGATTCTGTCAAAGAAAAATCTTTTGCTCCCAGGATTGAGGCCTCTGTCTCCATGATACAAAAGTCACCTGGAGGTTGGACTTGGTGGTCCTACTGGCCCCCAAAAGGGCAGATTTGCAGAGCTGGGACAAGGCCAAGTGTGGTAAGAAGAAGCTGGCAACATTTCAGATTCATCATCCCAACAGCACACGTTAGCTACGAGACACCAACACCCAGGAAGAGGTTCTCTGGGCACCTTGGAAACCTGGAATTCTGCCGTCTGGGACTCTGCTGCCATGGACTCTGCTGGGACACTATGTTGTGATGGGGCCACCTCCACTTTTGAGACCCTAAAGATATATAAACAAGGATGTTCATGCAGACTTGTCTATAGTATTAGAAAGGGCATAATGGACACTAATAAAGGAACACTTAAACTACTTATGGCATGATATGCTAGGCTGGAAGACTAAGAAGCCTTTGTTGAGAAAGGTTGAGAAAGAGATATATATCTCAACATGGAAGATATTTGCATAAGTCAAGCAAAAAAAAAAATCAGATTATTAGAGAGTGTAAGAATAGTCCCAATTTGATGAATATTTGGGTATGTGTGTGTAGGAAAAAATACACCAAAATGGTGATGCTCTAAATCATGGAATTGGGGAGGATATTTTTATTTCATTCATCATGTTATTCTAATTTTCCCGGGTTTCATGACATAAATAGAGTAAATGGGAGAATGGGTAGATGGAGAAGAAACACCAGGGTTGGGCAGCTTCTTTGATTCAGTGACAAGGCTACTGGAATTGGCCAACATCTTTGAAGGGCATGTCTAACAGTGTAAATTTTCTATGCCTTCAGTAAACAAAGGATTCTCTTTTTGCCTGAAGAGATGCTCAGTAACATTAGTATGCCACAGAGCATGGGAAAATATGTGTATGTGTGTTTTATTTTAATGAAAACCTAATAAAAATATCAGTGGCTTATGAGTCAGGGTAAGTAATGACAATACCTCATCCTCTTCCCAATGTTAATTGGTTCAGTAACTGCAAGTGGAGCATGAATGCAGGCCATGCATGTTCTCCATCTCTGGAGCTGCTGTCTCGTGCAGATGGCTTTTCCTAAGGAGGAAGGCTGCTAAGCGTAAGTCTTAGGCAAGAACATTTGTTGGAACACAAATGGCAGTAGGTAAACAGTTTCTCTGGCATTCCATTCTTCCAGAAGTCTCTTCATGGCTGCTCTTGCTTGAGAACAGATACTCCCTGAAAATATCTGGGAAGGACCAATTAAACCAGCTCTCTGTTCTAGACCTCAAAGAGAAACTCACTTTTGCTTCCCTTGGAATTCTTTTCCTGGGCAAATACCTTTCCTTGCCATCAGTGGGGTGAGTGAGAGTAGGTCAAGAGGGTTACGAGAAAGGTATGTGCTCAGGTGTAGTGGCTTTAGGCTGAGGGAGTTCTCCACACACTCAGTTTCAGTCATCTGGTATGTAGAACCAATACTTCATGGTAATAAAGAATGTTCGTTTGCCTGGATCTGTCCTCATTTTTATACATTGTGTGCCAAATAGCATAGATTTATCATGAATTTTATGCATCTTTCAAATCACAGAGGAAATTCAAAGTGGTGTCACAAATCAAAACATAATGTGTTCCATTTCCATCCCAAGTGGGTATATTGTAATTCAGTTCTGACACTAACTACCCAGAGTTAGCATACAGCCCACAGGTTAAGGGTAAAGTTCTCCACAAGATTGCCCCCTCTTCCAAAGGCAGTCACAAGTCTTGGGGGCTACCCACACTTCTGACTGACCGGCTATAAATTCAGAGATTTCCACAACCCCCTCAGTTTTGATGATTTGTTATAGCAACTCACAGAATTTACTGACAGCACTGTATTTTCTCTTATAGTTTTATTATAAAGGATGCAGATCAGGAACAGCCAAATGAAGAGATACATAGGGCAAGGTCTGGAAGAAGGGAGGAGGGAGGCGGATACAGAGCATCGATGCCCTCCTTTTGTGGAATATGAGCACATCATTATCCCGTGTTCACAAAGCAGGAAGCTTCTGTGTGCAGAGATTATATCGGGACTGCATTATGTAGGCATAACTGATTAAACCAATTGACCTCGATCTCCAGTTCATGTCCCCTTCCTAGAGGTAGGGCTGGTCCAAAGTTCCAGTCATCTAATCACATGGTTCATCTTTCTGGTAACCAGCCCGCATCCTGAAGCAGTCCCCCAGAGTGTTGCCTCATTACCATAACAAAGACATACCAGCAGGAAACTGGGGTGGGGTCAGGTTAAGCTCTGTTGGGAGCTAGGAACAAAGACCAGATGAATTCTCCATTATATCACACAAAACATTTTTCAGTTTCTTTAGTAAACCGTACCCAAGATCTTTAGTTCTTCAAACTGCATTGAGTACCATGTAATGTCCTTTCACTTAAATTTAGGACTCGCTTTAGCATTTCTTGCAGGACAGGTCTACTGCTAATTAACTCCCTTAGCTTTTGTTTATCTTGTCTTAATATTTTAATTTCTGGGGCACCTGGGTGGCTCAGTGAGTTAAGCCTCTGCCTTCAGCTCAGGTCATGATCTCAGGGTCTGGGGATCCAGCCCAGCATCAGGCTCTTTGCTCACCAGGGAGTCTGCTTCCCCCCCCCCCCCCCCTGCCTCTCTGCCTACTTGTGATCTCTGTCTGTCAAATAAATAAATAAAATCTTTTTAAAAAAATTTCAATTTCTTCCTCATTTTTGAAAAACAATGTTATCAGATATCAAGTTCTTGCTGATGGGTTTTTTTTCTTCTTTCAGCACTTTAAATATGTCATTGCACTGCCCTTTGTCTTCCGTGGTTTCTGATGAGAAATTGTTAATCTTATTAAAGCACCCTTGTACATAACAGTCACTTCTCTCTTGCAGCTTTCAAGATGCTCTCTTAGTCTTTGGTTTTCAACCATTTTATTATATTGTGGTCTAAATCAAAGAAGTCTAGATCAGATCTATACATCTTGGAGTTGTCAGCCCGAAAGTGATAAAGGAGACTGAGAAGAGGTGGTCAGAGAGGTAGAGGAGTATCAGCAGCTGTGGTATCCTGGATGCCCAATGACGAAAAGTGTTTCAAGGTGGAAGGCATCATCAAATATGTTGAGTGCCTCTGATAGGTCAGGTAAGATAAGCACAAGCAACTTGCTCATCGCACATGTGTTGAATTGAATTAACCTAACCTGTGTTTTCAATGAAATCTTGAGAAACACTGAGTGGAAACCCATGCTTGTTTTTCCTCTCAGAGCATTAGGGGATTTGTTGTGTGGCATAATAAATCCACAGGTTGACCCTGATTTCCATCCCTACACTCCCTTGTGGGCCAGCTCCCTACCTTCTTTCCCACTTGGAGAGATCAACCCACAAA